CACTAATGATGCCTGATGAGAACGTAAGCACTGTATGACAGGGCGCTATGTTCTTTACTATCTAACTCCAGTGCCTATAACATTGCCTGACACATTAAAGTTTCTTTTTTTAAAAATTTTCTTCTTTTTTTTAAAGGTTTTATTTATTTACTTTTAGAAAGATGGGAAGAGGGAAGAAGAAAGAGAGGGAGAGAAACATCAGTGTATGAGAGACATATCCGTTGTTTGCCTCTCACATGCCCCCAACCAATGACCTGGCCCACCACCCAGGCATGTGCCCTGCCTGGGAATTGAATCAGCGACCCTTTGGTTCATCTGCTAGTGCTCAATCCACTGAGGCACACCAGCCAGAGCAAAATTTTCAATCATTACTATATTGAATGTAGAGCAAACAGGCTGGTGGGCCAACTATATCAGGATGATAGCCCTGATGACAAGGGCATGAGCTAAATCCCACTGCTTCCTCCTCACTGTTCCCACTTTTAGTGTGTTTATCCTGTTTTACAAAGGACTCATGGACATGAACAATAGTGTGGAGATTGCTGGGGAGAGGAGAGGAATAAGGGGACTAAATGGTAATGGAGAAAGTACAATAAAGATTAAATAGTCCTGGCTGGTGTGGCTCAGTGGATTGAGCACCAGCCTGCAAACCAAAGCATCACTGGTTCAATTCCCAGTCAGGGCACATGCCTGGGTTGCAGGCCAGGTCCCCAGTAGGGGGCGTGCAAGAGGCAACCACACATTGATATTTCTCTCCCTTTCTCCTTCCCTTCCTCCTCTCTAGAAATAAATAAATAAAATCTTTTTTAAAAAAAGATTAAATTTAAAAAAAAAAAAAGAGTTGTAAAGGAAGACTGGCCAAATGACTCAAACAGGGCCTCCCATGTAGACAGGTACCCTGTTGAAGACACCATGATGCACAATCTAGCCCTCAGCTTTCTGGAGTCAGTCAGGAAACAAATCGTCTAGGAGCTGTGTTTATAACAGAGTACAGAACTGGGAGTCAGAGCCCTGACACTAACCCCCGCCGTGGCCACTAATTATTAGCTGTGTGATCTAAGGTAAGCCGCCTCCCTTTTATGAGCCATGATTTCCTCCCCTTAAAATTAGGGGTTGGGACTGGAAGGTGTCTACGCAACCTCCCAGACCGGTGACTCTTGGGCAATAAGCGCCCGTCATTCATTTACCTGTGAGCTTTACCTAGGCCCTGGGTGTGTCCCCTGAGACACTTCCTCCTGCCAAGTCAACTCCGGAGATGAAGTTAAAGCTCAAAGGGGAGCGTGAGGAGCGTAACGTGTAGAGCATGAGGAGCTCAGTGCTGTCAAGGAGTACTTCTATTAAGCAGTGAGAGGTAGCATGATGGGTTCTGCTCAAAACTCCCCTGTGCTCAGAAAGAGGATTTACACTGAAAGGCCAGGACACAAAACCTGCCTTCAAAGCGCTGCGTCCTCCAGTAACGGGAACACTGGCCCCCAAGTGTTGCTTTTTGGCTTTTCTTTTTCTTCAAACTTTTATCTCTGTCCAGTATGTAGGTCCCAATGATTGGATTTCAACTGTCTTTAATTTAACCACATCCATGTTTCTTCAAAAGATTTTTTTGAATTTTTATGAGTTTATTTGAGCCAAACTGATGACATATGCTGAGGAGCGAGACCTCAAGTGCTCCTGTAAGAGATATTGGTATAAATATCAGAACCATATTTTCCAAACTAAAAACAATCTTACAAAGGGAACGTTTTTCTAAGAATATTAAGAAAGAATGTTTGAAGTTGAGACTCTCCTGAAATCATACATTTGGTCAAAGATCTTCTCCAAAGTGCAAGATAGACCGATGGATTTTAAAGTAACAGAGTATAGTACATTGGTATGGTTTTAGACTCCAACAAACCCCTAAGAAACTACCACTTGTTGAGTTTCAATGTAATATCCAAGAAAGATATCCCCACTTGTCTGAAAGGCTGTTAAAATATCCCTCCCTTTTCTAATGACATTATGTGTGTAAGGCTGGACTTTTTTCTATATACTTCAACCAAAATAAAAGATCATAATAGATTGAATGCAGAAGCAGATATGAGAATCCGTCTGGATTAAGGTAAAGGTTAGAGATTTGTAAAAAGTGTAAAACAATGCTACTCTTACTAATTTTTTTTTTGTTCATAAAACCTATTCTTCACAGAAAGTTATTCATGTTCTCATATCATTCTATTTATTATGAAGTGACTTGGTCAATTTTTTAAAATTATTTTAATTTTTACTGTGGAAAAATATTGATAGATATAATCCACGTAAAGAACTCTTAAGGCTCTAACATCAAAAGCCCGAGACCCACTACCTCGCAATAAGGAGCTCCCATGCCCAGCTGAACCACTGTGCTGAGTCTGTGGTCAGCTCCAGGGTCTCACCGTCAAGTACAGAAGGACGAGCGAAGGTCCCCGGATATTTGGGGAGAGCCTCTACCATGAAAGACAGAAGCCAAAGTGACCGGAGAGAAGGGAGCTCAGCTGCAACCAAGGAGCAGGAAAGAAAAATCCAATATAATAACATCATCTTGAGAAATAAACGATTTTACAGCCATGAAGTAAGAACAGAAACATCTAAAGAGCTTACTTTAAAAAAAAAAATTGAAATTTAAAATCAGACATGAAAATGAAAGAATTCAATAAAGTGGGATTGAAAATAAAGTTGAAGTGTCTCAGAAAACAGAACAAAAAACGAGAGAAAACAAAAGACTGAACATGTGAATAATAGGAGTTTCAGAAAGAGAGAGAAGAGAAAGGGGGAGGGAAGGAAATAGCAAAGACAGCATTCAGGGACAGAGAGGTGCCTTAGCTTTTGGGTCCTGGGATCTGTATGTGCTTAAAAAGTACTTAGGACCGAAAAAGCTTTTTTTGTTTATGGTTTATGATGTTTTGTTTATCGTGATAGAAATTAAAACTGAGAAATTGTTAGACTATCAACATATTCAATAACAATAAGAAACCCACAGATTTTTAGAAAACTAATTTTACTACCCATCTCACTCATGTTTTTGGCATGTTGGCATTGTTTTACATTTTTGCAAATCTCTGTCCTGTCTGACTTAGTAGATGACAGCAGGGTTCCCATATCTGCTCCTACTTTCATCTCTTTCAGGTCATGTAGCCTCTGGAGAGTCCACTATAGTCTCATGAGAGAATGAGTGTAGGGGCAGAGAATTTTTATGAAAGTAGTGGCCTTCTGGACCTCCTGAATGGGTCCCAGGGCCCTGGAGATCACTTTGGGAACTGACATTCAAGAATATTTCCCAAATATTCAAATTGGCTCTGGTCATGAACAAGACCCACCCCCAAAGCCACTCATCACAGAATTTCAGAATGATGTTAACCAAGAGAAAACTCTAAAAGCTTCCAGAATGGAGAAACAGATCACATGGAACCTGGATCATAAATCAGAATTCATGAGGCAACAGATGGTTTCCTGAATACTCAGAGAAAATGATCTCCAACCAAGAAATTCTCTATCCACTGACATAATCAGCCAAGTGTGGACATTTTGAAATAGGAAGAGTCTCAGAAACTTTACCACCTATGACCCCTACTCAGAAAGCTGCTGGGCTTTGTCATTTGAAGGAGGGAATACATCTGAAATGGTGTCTAAGAAGCAAGGTTTCCAACACAGGAGCTAGGTGAAGGGCATCGTCAGGATGCCGCTGGAGAGAGACCCCAGCAGGCCCGGAGGGCAGCCTGTGCGGGTGGGAGCAGAAGGACACAGGGCTCCCAGAGGGAGGTCACCAGGGGACAAGGCAGCCGAGGGATACTCTGATGTTTGCACACGGTGAGGCGAGACTTAGGCTTCTGCCGCAAAGTCGGAGAATAAATCCATGGTGTGTACTTTGATACAAAGCACACACAAAAAGAGAGAGACAATTTTAAATGCATGGAAAACATGTTGTACAAGAAAGGGAATGTAATTATGGTATACTGCAGGGCTCGGCTGAGAATAATATTTAAAATGTAATAATATCTAAAAATGTAAGCTCTGACCTTAATCAAATTTTGTAACAACTCATTGGGAAGATGGGAGGAGGGTAGGTCTGGGGAAATTCAGAAGTCAGAATGTGTAAAACTGAAAAGTAACGAAAGTGCAGCATCAGCTTGTTTAGAAACATCAAAACAGCAGAAACAGCTACAGCTGAAAATTCTTCTAGAGAGAGGCAATTTAAAGTGGGAAATGGAATGCAGCATTATTTAACTTTTTTATTAAACTATGTCAGGCCCAGCTAATTAAAATAAACACTTAACGTAGTAAAATATATATCAACACAACTTACATGAGGTGCAATTTGGAAATGCGTTAACATTGGCACTGAAAATGCCCTTTGACCCACAATTCCATTTGTAGAATTTTATCCCACAGTAGGAAATCTGTTAAATTAATTATACGATGTCCATCCAATGAAATATTATGCAGTCACTTGAAATAATGATCATTAAAAAATGATACAGGTTTACATCTTTGAAAAGACATTTCCTTTCCTAATATATCTTTCCTAAAGGGCACTCGCTGTGTTTAAAATTTTATCTTAGTGTGATTTTTCATTGAATGTCTGACTCTTCCAATGGACTCCAAGCTCCAGGAGACCAGGAACCAAGTCTCAATTTGCTCACAGATGTATTTGCTCTTAGGGCTTGTACAACACCTGGTACCTGGAAAGCTATTTGATGAATGAATGAGTGTGTGAGAGCACCTGTGCAGACAATGAGAAACATCTAGAAGGCTTAAATGTTAGAGCTTATATCTGGGTGGAAGAGTTATAGATCGGATCAATGTTTAAATTCTTACTCCATCATGGCCTTGGGCAAGTCCCTTATCTAAACCTTGAATATAATGACAATAGGTCCTCAGTTATCCAATTAAATGATTCCTTCTAAAAGCCATATCAGTGTTTAAGCTTCTAAGTTATATGAAATGTCCTCAACCATAAGACTACACTCTAATATTTTCTTTTTTTTTTTTATTAGCGAACTTTTGCAAGATTTGGAAAACTGTGAAAATGACCCTGTGGCCATAGCAGAATGTTTTGTGTCCAAGGTAAGCGGGGTTCATTTCTCTGGGCCAACCAAGGCAGATACAGAGTACAAATTGTTTTCATTTTATAGTTAAAATGACTTGTTTGTTCCATGCTGGGTGAAGCTAGCCTCTAATCTCTCTCACTCTGGTTTCATTCTTCCTTTATTTCTTTTTTTTATCAGCAAGGAAAAAATAAATGCTGTTACTGTTCCCAGTAAGCTTGGAAATACTAACTTAGTAGTTTTCCTGGAATTCATATAGTAACTGAATGACGTTACTCATCTTTCCTCTGGGAGGGGGGGCTTTAAATTTGGGGAAAGGGAGGTCAAAAGAGAAGAATTTTAGAAAAATAAATAAATATAAAATAACACCAGACTAGTTAGACTATAAATATTTTATATATAATATATATGGCATTAGCCTAGGCTATATAATTGTCATTTATGTTAGTGAATAAAGAGAAGGAGAATTATTCTCTTACATCTTAAAAATGCATTCTTATTTTTCTTAAGCTGCATTGATGGTTTAGAAAACTACGAGGAAAGGATTTGACTTTTAAAGCTTAAATGACAGTTGGGTCGTACCCTGTGCTGGGAGAGGAGATAGAATTCTGAAATACACAAGGCAACCCTTGACAACATTACTTCCGGGTGATGCTACCTACTACATAGGAATCCTGTCTCAAGTTTCTCTGGAAAAGTTCAACAACTTTTGTTCGGAAAACCTCTAGCAGAAATTCTTTTGCAGCAAAACTTTGTGTGATTTCCCCATGTGTGGTTTCACATGTACAAAGATTTAAGCAGAGCGCATGACAGTACTTTGGGATCAACGGGGAATTAGCACCTCATTTCAAGCTCCAGAGTCCTTTGCAGGTCCCTTGGGGACTTGGAGATGTCCTCCCAGGTTGGCCTGGCTCCGGACTTGTTCCACAGGGTCATTTATGACAGCTGCAGATCCATCCTTTGGTTTAGGATCCAAACATAACACTCCGGGTTTTATGGAAGTGTGGCTCCTTACAGGCAGTTGGTGGCCGTGTGTATAAAACATTCCTCACGGTGTGGGTGGGGGTGAGGTTAGGGGTGGGAAGTTGTGAAATGTCTGTGCTCACATGGTTGCATACAGTTCTTTTCACAAGTTGCCTCTGTCATAATTAATTCTCCTAAAGGGTAGGAGTTAGAAAAAGAGAGGGAAAATGAAAGCGCAAGAAATGGGTCAAAAGATATGCCAAGTATATCAAAGAAGATATGTTAAAATAACCACAGCACATAAACAACACAGAGGCTTTTGGAAACGTTCGGTCTTTTACTGGTAACTGTAATCACAAGTTGATTAAAGACGGTCCAGCATATGCTTAGCTCTGGCTTAATTATTCACATAAAAGTTTGTTTATGTGCTCTGTTGCCAACTCCCAAATCTTATTTTTCATTGTAATATTGCCAAGTTTAATTAGAAGACTGACTTTGGGCACTGCACACTTTCACGAGGCAGCAGGGAACGGTGAGGGAGTGCTTGGTTCTGGCACACCCCGCTCTTCACTCAGCACCCTGAAATTCAGAAGATGGTACGTTTTCTGAAACCACCAGCTGCTCCAGTCTGGGGAGGGATGGAAAATTGCGTTAATTGACAGGCTATTAATGAAAGAAGGAAAGCTGGCGGTTGACTTGGGCTTTTATCTGAATCACTGGGGCCTACACCAAGATTCATCTCTGACCTTGCTCTTGCGGTCTGTGGGGGTTCCAGAAACCCTTACCGACAACAGGAGAGTTCAGCGCGGCCTCCTTACCTGCCGCTCATAGAAGAACGGGAGCGCGGAGCATTCCTCCAGCATCTGCAGGAGGGATAGAGATACGATACGAGGTCCCTTCTGGGCAGGCCAAGCCGCCTCCCAGCTGAGCACTTGTCTGCTCCTAGAGCTTGAGAAACACCTGCAGCAGATTTACCTCTGTTTTCTGCCTTTTCCTTCAGCCTCATTGCCATCCCTTATCTTGACTGTCACCTGGGCTAACCCTGGGCAACACTGAGCAAGGAGACAAAGTTTGCGTTCAGAGGCCCCAGCGCCCCTTATTAACTTCCCCTTCCCTGAGGATGCCTGGCCTTCCTCCGCATCGGCACCTTTCTACCCCCAGTGCCCAGACATGCACACATGCGTGCACACATGCGTGCCACACACCCCCACCCACTTACTGAAAGTGCCCCCAGGAAATGCTGATAGCCCACATTCATATCAGGTCAATGTTGCCTTATCCATGTGCTCTTTACATATTGAGCTGTCCTCATAATGTCCAGGGAAATTACTCAGGCATCTGTGTGTGTGTGTGTGTGTGTGTGTGTGTGTGTGTGAGAGAGAGAGAGAGAGAGAGAGAGAGAGAGAGAGAGAGAGGAGAAGAAGAAGGAAGAGGGGAGAGGGGGAAGAGGAGGAAGGAGGAGGAAGGAGGAGGAGGACAGAGGATAAGAAAAAGGGAGATCCTGTGGCAGAAGAAACCCTCAAATCATGCTATTTTCTCTCTGGTGATTCATTCAATAGACATCTGAGTGCCCTATGTGCTCAGTTGAACAACATTGACTATCTTATATTTTTGTTTTTTCATAATGAAAAGTCTCATTTCTCATCATTTCTACTTGCAATTTGAGAGAGCTGAATAACCAAAACGAAATATGTATTTTTGTATAATTTCTTTATCATTGCCTTCTTTTCCCCCTAAATATTTCTGGAAAAGATTTGGGGTGGCATATATCAATAGGTATTTAAGGATTAACCAGAAACTCTTGATTTTTGTGTAAAATTATTGTTTGAAATGTTGACAGATCTTACAAATCTAAGATCATATATACATTTGATTCTGTATTAAAAACATGTAGCCAATTTAAATCAAATCCCTCAAATTTAATAAAGAACTAGAGTCATGATGTCACAAAACACAGAAATTCAATTGCACAGGAGTCTTGAGGCTTTAAGGTCTATATAGGTCAAATATAGGATGTAATTTAGACATTTTCATTGAGGTCATTGTGTTTAAGTTTTGTGTTTTTAATGATCCTAAACTTGTCAAAAATTAAGGAAAGACAACGTGATATTGTTCAATCCCAGGCTGAGCATAGCAGGAAGCAGGAAAGAAGCAAGAAACGGAGAGTGTGCGAGCAAATGCCGAGAAAGGCTCCAGTCTGATGTTAATTTACCAGATGACCTTGGGCAAGTCACTTCACTCTTCTTGTCCATGGAGTCAGGGCTGGACACGCTGGTGCTCTTGGGAGCTAGAAGGGCGGACGCAGTGTGTGAATGGGAGGCTGTGGCCTTGTAGGTATTTGCCTGGCCTCATGGGAACCTAAGTGTCCTGTGACTCCATGGGCCCAGGACCAGTGGATCTACTACCTTTTTAGGAGAAACCAGAAATCCAGACATTTTTATCATCCAACTTTTAGAAAATGGCAACTAATTTTGATTTTTTTACAGTGTTATGCTTGAAAATTTGGCAGCCTTCTAAACTGGTGAGGCCGTAGAGAAATTGGTACTCCCACCATCACAGGAAACCAAAATGGCACAGACCCATCGGAAGACAATATGGCTCTATGTAGCGAAACTACGTCTGAATGCACCCTTTAATCCAAGAATTCTACTTCCAGAAATCCGCTCCACAGATACAGTGGCAAAGATTCAATAAGTGGGATGCTATTCTTTGCAGTAATATTTTTATAATGTATAGATATATACAATTTATAGGAACATGTATATATGTATATATCCATATATGTATAGAAACACATAGAACAGCTCAAATGTCCATAAACAAGAAGCTAGTAGAGTAAACACATAATAGTGTGTGAGGAAGCGATAAAAGCAAATAAAGGCTATCTCTATGGACTACTAGGGAGGGGCGGAGTGTGCCAGGGGAAGGGATAAAAGTGTGTATAGCAACGTGGTTCTCAATGTGCTGTCCCTGGACCAGCCCCATCTAGGAACTGGTCAGAAAGCAGATTTTTAGGGCCAACCCCAGCCCTACGAAATCAGAAACTCTGGGGTGCCTGCTCCCCAGTGTCTGTTTTAATAAGCCCTCCAAGTGAATCTGAAACACACTGAAGTTTGTGCATCACTGGCATGACTTGTTTTATTTATCTAGGAATGAGGGAGGATATGCCTGTATTTAAATGTGTATTTTTTAAAAAAGAGGATAAGCCCTGGCTGGTGTGGCTCAGTGGATTGAGCACAGGCCTGCGTACCAAGTCAACGGTTCAATTCCCAGTCAGGGCACATGCTTGGATTGTAGACCAGGTCCCCAGTAAGGGGCTCTGGAGAGGCAACCACACATTGATGTTTCTCTCCCTCTCTTTCTCCTTCTCTTCCCCCTCTCTAAAAATAAATAAATAAAATGTTATTAAAAAATTAAAAAAGAGGATAAGCTGTACAATTAAATATTGGCCTCTTAGAGGGGAAGGGAGAAAATAAACTCGAATGGAAATGAATAAAAGCTAGTCTTTTTTGTATGTGCATTTCCTTGTAGAATTGACTTTGAAACCATGGACATATTTTACATAATTATAAAGCAAAATTAAAGTTTAAGGAAGCAGTCTCCAAAAATTGAAGGCAAAATGATATGAGCCTAATTGTGTATCCAGTTTGTGACACAATCACACAGAGGAAATTCCAACAGATTAAAAAATATGCTATAGACAATATTCAGCAAATACATCCTTAACCATTTTCTGTAATGATGTCACATATGGTGGTTGGTATTTTACCCTGAAATTATTGCGTGTACTGTGGGATAAAGCAAATGAGTATTTATGTTAGTGTCATTGAGAACCAGAATTGGTAGGCGAAAGACAATACAAGGTAAGAATAACACTAATATAGATGCTACAGTCATGAATCTGAATTGCAAGTATTAGTGTGAGCTAAAGGATACATTTTCTCTTTAAAAAAAAAAAGCACCACTTTTCTAACTCTGTCCACTGAAAAGGCCTAGAAATAATCATTAACCCAGCAGCATGAGCATCCCTGCTGCTCGCGTTGTGGTTTCCAAGTGCTGTTCCTACCAAAGAGAGCTGGGGCTCCAGGAAGGTGGAGGGTGGGAAGGGAGCGTCCAGGGCGGGCTGGAACATCATGCTGCATCAGGAAACAAGGAGGTGCTAGGTCAGGGCACAGGCACAGGCCATAGGCAATGGGAAGAGGTTCCCATTGGCCAAGAAGGGGATCATTGGAGTATCAGCAAAGATAATTAACTCAAAATACTGCAAATCATTAACTATGTTTATGTTATGAATCCACATTGATGTTTTAAAAAAAAATCTTAGCCCTTTATAGGATGCTAGAGAAGTAATGCATTATTTTGAAAATCAAAGTAAAGGATCAAGCATTTATTTTGCCTTTCCCCTCCAAACCGCAAACAGCTGGGTAACAAATAGTTAATATAAGGAATTTCTGTTTTAAGGAAGATTCTGCTAATAAATGAAGAAGGACCAGGAGGGTTAGAAATATCACCATTTTGCAGCCCCTGATGGATGACTAGATCTAGGCCATAATTACCAATAGTGATTACCATCACAAAAAAGGGAGCCAGCCAGCCATTATGTGCCTCCCAATGGAGATGGAAATACAATACAACCTATGCTGTATTCGGCCAAATTATGGAACCTAAATATGAGCAAGCTCCTTTTTTTAAATTTTATTTTAATTTTTTTTTTTTGCATTACCATTTAAACCCCTTATACTCCCCTCCCCCAGCAATCACCACATTGTTGTCTGTGTCATGAGACCTTTTCCTTTTTGCTCAATCTTTCTACCCCCAAATCTCACCCCCCTCTCTAGCTGTCATCCTCCTCTCTATCTATGAGTCTGTCTCTATTTTGCTTTGAACAAGCTCCTTTTAAATCACAAGGAGTGCAGGAACAAGGGGACATAGTAAAGAAAGCCATAGAGATGTAATCAACAAAATTGAGACTGTGAGAAACTATGCAGGACAAACCATCTGGTTTCTTCAACCACCAAATTATAAAGGGAGAAAGGTAGAGGAGGACCTTATAGATTAGAAGAGACTTAAGAGATACCAACCAGTGGCTGGATATAGATGTTATTTGGATTCCAAATCAAACAGGCATACTATAAAAAGAAAATAGAAAATAGGAATAGTGACTGATGAAGTTTAATGATATCATGAAATGATTTAACTATCATGATGGCAGTGGGGTGATGCTCCTTTTTAAAAGTCCTTATAGTAGAGATGTATACTAAATATTTACAAGTGAAATGAAATGATGTCTGGAATTTGAGTAATAGGGAAACTGGGGAGTCGGTTGATGCAGACTGAGTTAAGGATACTGAGGTTGGGTGATAGGTAATTGGGGATTCATTATATCATCGTCTCTGCTTTTATATATGCATGAAATTTTTAAATCTTATCCTACTTGAGTTTAACAGAAAGGATTCTAAATAGAAATTCCTTTTAAGTCAGAAAAAGATTAATTAAAGCATTAAAGTTCCAAAAAGTAAAATAAAAGGTGCTATGGAGAGTAAGTCATTGGCCTTGAATTGTTTATTCTGACTGAGAGTTTTACAATGAAAATTTTAAAAACCTGGATTATGCCGCCTCACCCTCCCACCTGCAAATCTCTTTCCCTTGGCAGTCTAGGGAAAAAATTGTCAAGGACTTTGAAATTGACCATAAAAATGTTATTAGCTCCCCAACAGAAAACCTTCAGTAACCCTCAGTGGAGTCTCTCCGCCTTTCATTGTTTGAGCTAGCTTGCAACTCTGACCCTTGCAGATAACTGACAGGAACATATGGTAAATGATCTTGGCCACAGACACACAAACGCATACTGAATGAACAAGAGACAGTTGACTCATTTACCTACCCATCTCTACAGAAAAAGCCACTTTCATGTCATTTGTCAATTCATTTCAACATTTCCTATTGACCCAAGTGTGATACTTTTATTTCTTCTTTGATCCAGTTGTAATATCTTGCCACTTTCCTCATTAATTAAGATGTTGTTAAACAAAATCTTTAACAGTGTTCATGTTATACTTGCGAGGAGGTCCTGGTTTTACCTTTTAAAACAATTATCCTTTAACAGCAAAAAGTACTGATGGACTATTTCCCAATATTCGATCATGTGACTAGACATCTGAAAGACTAAGAGACACTAGGGAGCCAGGAATATGATCACGGTGAAAGGCAGGAACCCCACATGACAAACATACTGACCGAGGCACTGCTGACATGCTTGATCCATGCAGATGACTAGACTTGGGTCCTGCTCTCAGATAATTTTCACCCTAGAGCTGAGAGGGGGATTCGGTAGTTCAACAAATGATATACTGGATGAACACAGTATGGCACCGACGCTGCAGGAACAGGCAGGTACATAGAAAATGTCACTGTCCTTTGGGAGATGCTACAAGAGGGGGAAGTGTTGGGGTTTTGTGGAAGCCAGAGTAGAAGCAGTTGGCCCAGCCCAAAAGCTTAAGGAAAGAAAGTCAGAGGAAATAGAGTCTTAAGTTCAATGTCAGAAGATGCAGGATGGCTCTCCAATGAAAGAGGTGGAGAAGACAGTGTGAGGAGAGAGCTGCAGATGCATGCAGCAGCTTTCTTGTGCCCTGCATGCACTTCTAATATGTTTTTACACATGACATTTAAATTATCTACTTATATTTCTCTCCCACACTGCAAATCTACCAAAGGAGTATAAGCACCTGGACAGAAACTTATTTTCTTCCTCTAATTTACCCAGCACAGCAAATGCTCAATAAGTGTTTATTAAACTCAAATGAGTTCAAGTGCATGTGGATTCAAGATACAACAAAGATAGACAAAATGGCACAAATGCTTGCCACAGGGACTCGGGAGACAGGCTCCTGGTATCAGAGAGACACAGTTAAAGACCTGAATGCTGTTTCTTTTCATTGTTTTTAAGTGAATGTTACTGTCTCTCCTTTTTTGTCTATAAAAGTCTCTTTTGTTTCCTTGCAGAGTGAAGAGTTCCACATTTACACCCAGTATTGCACGAACTATCCGAGGTACGTTTGGTGAATGTGCAAGGGGAACTTTTCTTCACTTTTATATTCTTTCAAGTCAGTCAGTCCCATATATGTTGGTGTCAGGCACTGTATGCCTGGCACTGTGCTGGATACTATGGGAAAACTGGAAAACCCACTGAGAATGGATTGGGGGGACCAGACACTGATCCGTTCAGGCTTTGGACTCCCAGCAGAGCCCACAGGAGGGAGAATCATGAAAGACCCTCAGAGAGACCCAGAAGATGGCTAGGTGTCCTTCAGTGAAAAACCAAGTAAACCAGTGTATTTGGCTACAAGTCTTGTCTATTAACCCTTTTGTATGAGTGCCATGTTTTTTAAAAATATCAGAAGCACTGCTACCGGGTGTATATAATCTGGCCGGGGAGACAATGTGTTAGGTTTTTGCTCTCTAAGTTCTGTGAACTATGTAAGTTTTATAAAGCCCAGAGAAAGGGAAGGTCACGACAAGCTTCGGTGAGATGAGAGGACTCATGGTCGCCCCGGCCCCCGCCTCCGTGTGGCTGACCCTGGCAGGAGGGCAGCTGGGGGAGCAGCCCCTCGACATTGTTACACGGGCCCCCTCCATGAGGGAGGCAGGCCTACGACCACTGTCTGAATTTCTTTTCTGTGCGTGAGACATTTATTGAGCACTCACTGATCCCTAATCGTTGTATAAAATGCTGTAAGTAACAAACGTTGCTGAATTTAACTTCCCCAGCAATCCACAGATGTCCAGGGATTAAAGCAAAACAGAAGAGCTGTCACAGTGCTGAGCGTGTCCCCAGCCTGTGCTGGTTTGCCACTGTGGCCTCATCCCCACTGTGGGGATGAAGTAATGGGGCTCCAGTGGGTCTATTGACTTTACAAGGGTCCCATAACTGATGGCGGGCCCTGCGAGGACTCTCCAACCTCAGGCCTCCTCCTAGTACATCCTCGTAAGCTTTCTGGAGCTTTATGATCAGCACTGCACACCCAGCCCCAATGCCTTTTTGTGCTCCACTTCCCCACATGATCCTTGAGTCGCTCTCCCAGAGGCCAGCCAGGATGATGAGAGCCAGGGCGATTTTACAGGCTCCGTGCCAGTCATGGTAGAGACATGTCCCTGGGGATCCAGTGGGCGGTGGGCCCCACCTGGTAGAGAAGCAGTGGGCTGAGCCCCTAACGCTGCTGCAGTGAGAAGAACTAATGAGACCCATGCTCGAGTGGCCCTAGAAAGCCAACGTGGATTAAAAGGCGTGGAGCCAGGGGCTCAGTCTTCCTGGTGGCAGGACACTTTCTCCTGGGAGATACTAGTCTCCTCCGCTAGGTATCAGTCAGGATGTTGGGCTGTAGTATCTTATTCTCTTGGTGGATAACCACACTTTCCCCAGATTTCTCTAAAAACAAAACAAAGAGTTAACCTACACATTAGTACACCTGTCACCTATGCACATCTGTAAACCCACCCATAGTTCGCACAGTTTCACTTAAGCAAGGTTCTCTCCTGAAGTTTCCACATCTCTGCAGAGGATACTGGGGAACTGTCAGATGCCCCCACTAATAAGTCCATGGTGCTCATGCTGGAAGCCAACACCCCCCGCCCCCCCCCCCACCACACACCCTCATGCAGAGAAATCACAGAATCAAGAGCTCAACTTCTTCCTGGGGGAAAAGAAAAAAGACTCGGACTCTGCAGAATCGACAAAGTCCTGGACCTGACAGTCGGTCCCGGGGCCCCAGAGTGGCTTGAAGGGAGGTGATGGCTGTGTCGATCTCACTACACACGTGTCACTTGAAGACAGGGCTTCTGAATTTGCGATTTTGGAAGTTTATATTAAGATTTTTCTGAGTTAGGCATAAGAACGGCAAGTACAAAATAAAAACACCCTTTTGCACACTAGGCTCCTTTTTTCAGGGTCGGGGGAAGGCAGGATCCTTTGTGCAGGGTCGTTTCTGAGAGCCCGTCATTCACGGAGCATGGTTCCAAGCTTGGGGCCTGTCCATAAGAAGTGGGAACTATGTCCCTTGCCTTCTGGCAGCTTATATTCTTCGGAGGGTCAGGACCCAACTGAATGCAGTAGTAGAATAAATAGTGAGTTGGAGAAGATCAAATTAATAAATACAGATTACTAAATGAGCTCAGTAATGTGCAATAGAAGCAAAACATACTGAGATAAAGGAGTAGGTAAGCCCCAGTGAAGAGAGTTAAGGATGGTTTGTTGGAGGAAGTGATTTTTTATTTTGAATCTGACTTAAGGAAACAAATCATGTGTTAGAGATGATTGAAAGACATTCTCATTTTTAAAAAAAAATTTTTAAGGCATTTTCAGTGAAGGAGGCATGTCGAGTTCTTGCCCAATTCTGTGGTTTTCATATTCATAGAAAAATTTTCTCTCTCGCCCCTTTGTCTCCAGTCAGTTTACTCTGAGGCCCAAAGGTTCCTGTCCTGTCTTGAGCCAAGAGGGCCAGGTGTTTCAGCCCATCTGACAACTTGTCTTCCCTCTTCAGACGCAGGCCGGTGATATTAAATGTCGCCAGCACACCTTGACAGATGTCCACCTTCTTCATACCAGTCACGCCCCAGTGATTTCTCTGTGAAGAGACACAAGGCCGCCCTGTTTCCCCCAGGGAAGGGCCCAGACCCAGTAAGGTCACTGTCCTCAGATGTCGCCTTGTGCCCTGAATCTGGAGGTCAGAGTACTCGGGCCTGTAGCAGGCTTCCTACCTTTGGACAAGAGCTGCAGCCTTCAGGTGGCCCGTGGCTATCGAGCAGCTGGTTCTGACTCCAAAGGGCCTGACAAAAGTTCCTGGGTTACAGAATGAAAAAAAAAATTGAAATCTCAAGTTGGGGGTGGGGAATAATCCTGTGTGAATAGATATTTCTCAAAGCAGATAGGCTCCAAAGGGATTCTAATACCTAATTAGGAGACCTGCATCTTCCTTCCTTCCCAGGAGTTTTATTTTGTTGTTTGGCTCTATCTGATCTTCTAAATTAATCCTGAAAACAGATGACTGACTTGGGGAGAAACTACTTCCACCTGCTTCCTTCTAAATTATGAAACCATAGTTTCAATTGATATGCGTGTGTGACTACACAAGCCCACGAGCTTGCTTTATGTGTAAGAGCTAAGTGTTGCTTCCACCATTCTCCTAGGGTGCCCGGGGCCAGCCCTGCTACCTTTGGGGGAGTTGGCACAGAGAAGGTGTTCGACCGTATTTTCTAATCCACTCCGCGCAGCGCGCTTCTGAAAGGGCCAGGTTATCCAGCTGTTTCCGAAGCTGTCTTTAGAATAAGCAGAGCCACTTGGAGATGGAAAGTGGGATCTGTTCAGATTCTCAAAGAGAAGTTGACCTGTGGGACAAGGTCTCCGAAGACCTACACGTAATGTCGTGCAGTTTGTGCATTATACAAAGACAACAGCAAAAGGGGTGATAATGTCCGGCATGGGGCTGGATCTCCTGGGGAGAAGGAACTCCTTTTTCTTAGTACGAAGTGCTCCCTCCTTGCAATCTAACTTGTGGACACTGAATACAGATGTGTGGTTTGAGCACTGCACAAAGACACCCAGATAGGGCACAGTTGGGGGCCAACAGCCAATGGGAATCCCCGTTGCTAAGCCACATGTCCTTGTAGGAGCCAAATCCCTGGGAGGAAGGAGCTTGCTACATAGAAGCGCTATGTCTATGCATTGCCATCGCTCTTAGAGTGCCTTTTACTAATTTGCTCACCCAGAGGAACACCTTGATGTGACTGACCCAAAGGCCTTCTCGTCTAGCTATAGCCCTGTTGCTTCCCTACCTGTTGTAGGGCATTTATTCCTACACCGGCACTTAAAACTCGAATACCCGTGTTAAGCAGGCATTTCAATGTAGATAAAAACATTTCTTCTTCTTGCAGATCTGTGGCTGTGTTAACAGAGTGCATGAGGAACAAGGCCCTAGCCAAATTCTTCAGGGAGCGTCAGGAAACTCTGAAACACTCGCTGCCTCTGGGGTCCTATCTCTTGAAGCCAGTTCAGCGGATTCTCAAGTATCACCTCCTTTTGCATGTAAGTTTCTGCCTGCTCTTGAGTTCTTTCTAGAGGATGGGGATTAAGTGTGTATATATTAGGTTTAGGGGAAAAAAAGATCAGAAAAGGCTGGGGACATATGGAAACATTTTCCACACTCATACTTTACAAGTGACTAATCTGCTTTGAGGTATTAGAGGTATTTATTTATGTTCGAGGCTGGCGGCCCTGTTCACAGCGGCCCAGAAAAGGTTTATTTTCACCCTGACTCTGATAGGACTCAGGAGCACCTCACTCTGGGCAGTGGCCGTTTCAGACAGGGAGCTATCATCTTAATGAAGAACAGGTTTTTTATGTTTTATTTTATTTCCACAAGCCCTGATTCAGTAGGCAGTTGGGAGAGAGAGCGATTTGTCACAGATCGGCTTTTGTATGAGCAAAGAGAAGGGGCTGAAAGGGGAGAAGATAGGTGAGCGGCGTGATGAATGATCTTTAAGCTGTGCTTAGCCTCACGTCAAGGTATCTTTTCTTTATATCATTTCCCATTATTGGGGCAAAATTCAGGGAGGCTTTAGAAACAAAGGCCGATGCAGCAACTCACATTCTCATTTCTTATCATCTAAGGAAGTTGATAAAAATGGAGGAAAGGTTTTGTGGAAAGTAACTTTCATTCTGTGGGTAGGATCGGATAGGCTGTGCAACCGGAGAAAGACAGCACAACGCAGCGGCCAGGGGCAGGGCGCTGGGGCAGGGCTGCGCACCGCCCGTGGGCCTTGTGCCTCCCAGGCAATCAACAGAAACAAAAAGAAGAAGAAGAAATAAAAAATAGACAAGAGATTTTAATCCAGAGTTTCTCTCCATATCAACATGTCTGCAATTTCTATGTATCTCTTTTTAAACGATTCCAGATTTCTAACTTGAGCAAGCCAGGATTGCTCAGTTCACACACATTTAAAGTTTGAAGAACTCTTATGTTACAGCTTTATCAGAAATTTCTCAGCTTGGTCTGTTTGCCTGGGTGGCTCATCTTTGGAGAATCTTGTATCCTGTGAAGCCACAGCAGGGATAACACTTTAATTGTTAAATGGATACTAATTACTTCTTAGATCAGTGGGATTAATTTGCTAAATCCGTGTCCAAATAATTCATAAATAAATACTACCTGCCTTAGGATAGACTGCGGCTGGACTATGCTAATATGTCATCTAAGGCTAGTATGTCCCAACGATCTCTAAGTATGGCTTTCTAGCCACAAAGGTGATCACCATTTAAAAAAAAAACAACTCTAAGATTTCAGTGACATAAGCATGTTAGATATAACAAGTCATCATCCTTACAAAAAATTAATTGATAAGAAAATCAGCCCTTACTCTCTAAATGAAGAGCTAGTGTCTTAGTCAGTCTGGCTTTATAACAAAGTACCAAAGACTGGGTGGCTTCAGCAAAAACATTTATTTCTCACAGTTTCTGGAAACCTGAGATCAGGGAGCCAACATGGTTCCATTCCGGTGAGAACCTCCCTCCCGGGCCACAGTCTCCCGATGTCTCTTGTTTTGTCTCAGGGATTAAAGCAGCAAGAGAGCTCTCTGGGGTCTCTTTTCTAAGGCCACTAACCCCGCAAGGGCTCCACCTGCATGACCTACTCACTTCCCAAAGGCCGAAAACAGGAGGGGTTAGGATTTCAACCTATGAATTTGGGGACAGACACAAACTTTCAGTCTGTAACAGCAGGTAATGAAGAAAACAGGGAAGAACAGTGGTTAGATTAACCTAAAACCAATGTCTGGGTACCTTTGAAATATTTTTGTTTTTATTGTTTATTAGAGTGTTCCTTCTGTGTTGTTCACATCACTTCAAAATTGTGTAGCCATCTGTGAAGATCCCCAAAAGAGTACCCTCTGTGCTTCGGAGTCTGTTGATGAACAGGATTGCCCCTCAGGCTAAAATAAGAAATTAATAGTTTTTTAACTTTGCTGTTGATCTCTTTTTAAAAAAAAAAAATTTATCCTCACCCAAGGATATTTATTTTATTTTATTGATTTTAGCGTGAGAGGAAGGAAAAAGAAAAAGAGAGAGAAACATTGACGTGAGAGGGAAATATTAATTGGTTACCTCCCATATGTGCCCTGACTGGGGATTGAACCTGCAACCTTTTGGTGCAGGGAGTGATGCTGCAACCAACTGAGCCACCTGGCCAGGGCTTTGCTCTTGATCTTGAGCTTACCCTGGGAGTTATTAGTTTGGTGATACAATTTTATACGCCCTTTCTAAGTGTGAAAGAAAATGTAAATTTCCAGTTTCTAACTGGATGAAAAACTTGAATACTTGGTAAAAGTAAAGATTTATGAAGTATGACTATAAAATAGTAGAGCTAATCTTCCTAAGTTATACCATAAGATTCAACCTCTATTGTTTAGCTTAATGAATATGCATGATGGATGTCATGGAAATGATCTAATGGACTATGATAACTTCTTATTGTTTTACATAGTTACATAGAGTACTGTTGTTTTTGTTTTAACAAGATACGGCTTCAATTTAATGAGCCTCTATTGACCACCCAGCTCTCTGGTAGGCACTGTTGAGAAGAAAAAGGGTTAAAGGAACTATGCACTAGTCCCCATCCTCACAGTCTTGAGGATTCTAGCAGCATGTGTCTTCTGTGCTGGAAACAATCAGAGCAGAGACCGTGTTCCTTCCTCATCTCCCCGGGATCGATCGTGGAAGCCTGGCGCTAAGCTACGCGCGGACCCTCAGAGAGCGAGTGCTTGAGCCAGGAGACCTTCCTCCACACTCTGAGGGACTCCCTTTGCTGAGCTTCATGCGGGCTTTAAAGCCTTGACTACATGAATATGTAGTTTCTGTAGAAGTTTTTCTTTTTTTAAAGATAATGTCCATTCCATTTTCAAGTCTGTTACGCACTAGTCCCATGAGGGACATTTTCCTTTCTCTGGGAGAAAAATAATAAGTATATTTTCCATCTTGTAAGAGTGAGAACTATGTAATATTGGCCACCAGGAAGCTCAGAAATCTCCAACTATAACATCCACTCTCATATCCATTGTAATAACTGCAACATCTCTGTGAGGCTTGACAGCCTTGTATGCAGATTTTACACTTTGTCGTGAAATTCTAATCCAATTCTGTTTTTCCCAGCTCCATTTTTTTCCTGTTGTGCCATTTTGTCGTAGGTATTCCTGGTAAGTCATCTCAGCATCTTAAAGAATGACGGTAGTGTGCAAGTAAATAAGCAAAAATAAGATAAGAGAAATTGCCACTTGTTTCATTGAATACATGGAGAAACATGGGAAATAGCTGATTTCATTTTTTGTTTTTCATTTTAAGGAAATAGAAAATCACCTTGACAAGGACACCGAAGGCTATGACGTGGTGCTTGATGCTATCGACACGATGCAGCGAGTCGCCTGGCACATCAATGACATGAAGCGGAAACATGAGCACGCCGTCCGGCTGCAGGTGAGCCCCACGAGGGCGGCGCCTGGCGGGGCTGCGGGCACACTGCCTTCCACACATTCCCTAAATCACATATGAAAGCTGCTCCCATACTGCACTGCATTCATGGTCTTCCTCGGAGTCCTGAAGAAAGGGCAAGATGCCGATAACGCCGTTGTTCAGTGTGGTGTTTAAGACAAAGCCCCATGGTAACTGCTAAATTAAGACTTTGCTCGCAACCCCTTCATCGACCCAAATTAAAATGTTGAATTCTCCTGAGGCCGTATCTTAGGTTAATTACAAAGAAGTAATTCTTGTTGAAAGCAACTTTCTCTAAGCTGTTTAAAGATTGTGTGTTTGTTTTTTAACTTCTATTCCTGTCACTAGTTATGCAAAGTCACGGGGTGGTATCCATGTGGTATTGGGACAGGGGACTCAGAGAAAGGAGAGCTAAGTCTGGAGCCAGGTCCTTTGCAGTTTCATTTGCAACGAGTCCCACCACTTCATTGCAGATTCCTCATTTTTTAAATAAGATGGACAAGGGCTTGCTAAGTGACGTTCCTTCCAGCACCAACTTTTGAGCCCGAAGTCCCTGAAAACTTTGATTGGTGCTGAGCCAGGAGTCATGTCCTGGGCACCTCGAAAAATAGTCTACTTAAGAACAAAATGTCGTGCGGGCCTAGAGGGAGTGGCAGGCTCCTGGGTGTCCCTGGAATGAGACGTGAACGCGCAGAGTGACTCCAAATTCTGCAGGGCACCTATACCTGACTCAGGAATAAAAGGTACATTATTTGGCCCTTAATTGCGAACAAAATTCTAGGTTTCCTTGGGAGGCAGCCAGACTCTGGTGTGATACAGTTGACTATCCAAAATCAAAGGAAGGCAGCATTCTAATCTTCCAGGCCTTGTCTGTTTTTTCTAGCAGTAAAAAGGGCTTAAAGCCTCATCATTCAAATGTTTTGTGGGCATAATGTCAGACGTAATATCTATTGCATTTCCAAAAATGGCTAAATGACTGTATTTTCACACCTAATGAATCTTGTTTGGCCTTCTGAAGACGCTGCTCGGTCAGCCTCTGGCCCAGACTCATCTCCGTTCCTGTCCTGCTTTATACCAATGACATTTCATTACGGTTGTCTTGGCAGCTGCTTAATTAGATGCTGTTTGTGAACATTTTCATTTTTCAAAGTAATAAATTCAGCCTCCTTAAAAAATATGGAGATGGACATACAGTAAATCCCAAAGAAACTTCAAAGTCATGCTATCAATATATATTTATCAGGTTCCATTCAAAACGTAGTGGTAAAGTAATGTGCATTTCCTTTCCCTAAATAAATGGGATTAATATCAGGAAATTTCTGAGATGATGTGTCTTGTATGATTTTCCACAGGCTTTAGTCTTAAGTTCCAGGTACGTGGTGTGGACTTCCGTTTCTGGAAGAAGTTATCCAGATCAATAGCTCTGAAGGTTTCTGTCTAGAGGACAGGGGGTGAGAAAGTCAAGGGCAGGATGTCCATCTGAGAAGGTCACATACCAAAGGCCTCTTTACGTCGCCAGCCATAGGAGGGGGATTATCTAGGAGTGGAAATAAGTAATGGGCAACTCATCAACTAACAGCTTGATTCATTCCTGTTACCTCTTCAATGGCACCACCCATAAACGTAGATTAATGTCATGGATCATAGACACCATCAGACGCCACATAGTTCCATTGGATCCTGTCATAGGTATTCAGACGCCATTCTCGAGGCTCAAGAAATGGGCCACCATGTCCTTGCTGCCTTGCCTCCCCACCTCCTGTGTCATCACATGAAATGCTCATATTTTTTTTCAGGAGATACAGAGCTTGCTCACTAACTGGAAGGGGCCAGACCTGACCAGCTATGGCGAACTGGTGCTCGAAGGAACCTTCCGCATCCAGCGGGCCAAGAATGAGCGAACCCTCTTCCTCTTTGACAAGCTGCTTCTCATCACAAAGAAGAGAGATGACACGTTTACATACAAAGCTCACATCCTGGTAGGTCTGCATGCTGGTCACGGGCCCGGGCTTCAGTGGCCTGTTGCACTCTCTCCCACGCGAGCTCACCCTGTCTCTGCTCCCCGCACAGTGTGGCAACCTCATGCTCGTGGAGGTGATCCCCAAGGAGCCGCTCAGCTTCAGTGTCTTCCACTACAAGAACCCCAAGCTGCAGCACACAGTTCAGGTAAAAGCGAGGCCCCGTCTCCTCCCAAGGCCTGCTCTCGGTGACAGTGAGCACCTGGTGCCAGGCAGCCTTTCTAGAGCTTTCTGACCACGTGGTGTGTTTTCCATCCCATGAGAGGGTTAAAGGGGCACAGGAATCTCATTGGTGGTGAAGGCGGGACTTGTGTGACTGTCTGAATCTCCTTCCTATAGGCGAAATCTCAGCAGGACAAACGCCTGTGGGTTCTACACCTGAAGAGGCTGATCCTGGAGAACCATGCGGCCAAGATTCCAGCAAAGGTGAGACCGCAAGCCTGCCATGCAGCAATGTGTAAGGACATTCAGGTCCTAGGGAGGCAGCCTGGCAGAAGTAAACGCTCAACTCCCACAAAGGAAAGTGAGAGAGAGGATCTGTCAGCTACCAACTAAACCAGCCATTTACACCAAGAGGATTCACAGATAGGGAGATGCTGTGGAGAGTTGTTGGGGTTTTTGTGTTTTGGTTTTGTGTGTGTGTGTGTGTGTGTGTGTGTTTTGTGTTTTTTGTGGGTTTTTTTGTTTTTTTGTGGGGGTTTTTTTTGTTGTTGTTGTTTAATTGTTATTTTTCCTTTGGAGCTTGAAAGAAGAAAAAATAAGGAAAAGACTACAAGTAAATTTCTAGAGAATGAGCAGAAAATAAAGAGAGCTATGAGAATTATTTAAAGGTGCACTGAGCACCCATGGTGCACAAAGCTGGCTTAATGCGAGGGAACCCAGACCCAGGCGCAGCAGGGAAGGGATGTGTAGGCGAGGGAGCTCGCCATGAGGGGTTAGTAAAGGTACGAGCCAAGTGTTGTGGAGGGTACAGTGTTCGATTACAGTTGAGTGGGGAGAGGAAGGAAAACACCTTTCAGTATTTTGAAGGATGAGGAATATTTTTATTAAGTGGAGGAAGTGGAAAAGGAAAACCAAGCCGAGGAAACAGCATAAACAAAACCAAGACAGAAGGGCTGAGCCCTCAGGAGATGGAGCTGGAGGCGAGGCTGGAGGAGTGGAAGGTGGTCAGCGGGGCTGTGAAGGGATTCGACCCCGCGCACCGCGGAGTCTGGGTTGTCTTGGTGGTGGGAAACCTCTGAAGGATCTGGAAGCAGGGTATGGCAGGCTTTTGCCCCATGTTCTGAGAGTGCAACTTTGGGAACAGTGTGACAATGAGTGGGAGGAGTGAGACTGGAGCCAGGAGAGGAACGAACAGGCCACCACAATAGTCTAGAGAAGAGACGAGAGGCACTGCCAGGGAGGCACAGCCTACGAGGGGGAGCAGGTGCAAGGCCCATCACAGAGGCAGAGCGAACAGGATTCTGCCCATGAAGTGCTCGAGGAGAGGGAGAAATAAACGTCAGGGATGAGTCAGGAGTTGGGCCAAGAGGATGGTGTTGTAAGTTCCAAAAGAGGTTGCCAAGGGGAGGAACCGGTCGGATGGGAGCAAGAGGGCAGAGCGCTGCTACCTGCGCAAGGGCAGGTCAGCCACAGGTGGAAATTCAGGTCCTGGAAGCTGGGGGTTGGGAGGCTCCCTCCACCCAGACCACTTGAGACTGGATAGGAGCGCGCCGCACAATGTCTAAAGGGAGAAGAATCCTGGGGAATCCCAGCATCTAGGTGATCTGCAGCGCAGAGCAGGATTGGGAGAACAACCAAAGAGCAGCAGTGAGGTAGTAAGAAAACCAAGGAGAACAGTGTGGCAGCAAAGGAAGGAAAGAGTCTCAAAGAGTGGGAGCGAAGTAACAGCCACCCATGCTGCAGAGGTCAAAACAGACTCAAAAAGTAGGCATCAGCTGCATCCACGGAGGGACAAGGGAGAAATTGTAGTGGGTTGAAGAGAAAGGGTAAAAGAAGGAACAGACTGAGTGTAGGCTTTTCTTTTTTAAAACAGAGTTCAGTAAAGACAAAAGGTGCTAGTTGGAGGAAAGGGAATATCAAAGCCAGACACTCTTTGTAAAAGGCGAGGAATGTGGGCACAGAGGGAAACAGAGGGGAAGGAGATGGGGAGAGAGGGAACAGCAAGGCTAAGGGGAGGGATGCTCCTTGGAATGTGACCCTGGGGGAGTGGCCGGGTGGGATCAAAAGCACAGGTCTCGGGGTCAGTTGTGGAAAGGCCATCTTCCCTGGGCGGAGAGAGAAGAAAGATGAGAAAGAGGACAGGGAAGCTTGGAGGTGGATTTGAGGGAAGATCAAGGGTTTGACTTTGTTGCCATCGCAGTGGTGTCATCTGCTGGGCGAGGGGAGCAAAGATGGGGCTCGAAGTGGAAAGGTCCAGAACACCTGCTGGAGAAAATGGATCGGCCAGTCAGCAGGGACAACTACAATAACCTGGAAAGGCAGCCAAGACCCAGCTGGTGCTGGCCACCATGAATCAGCAACTCAGAAGCTGGTGTTGAGGAACTGCAGTGCACGTGGCTTCCCCCACGGTGGGGACTGGCCAGAGGGAGGGTCAACAGGGCAGGGAAGGGAGGTGCTCCTCAGCACCTATGGCAGCAATGGAACAGGCTTTCCAGGCTAAGCACACAGTGAAACCAACCAGGAAAATGGGCACGGGGGGAAGCAGTGTGGTCTCGTAAAGTCAGAGAACTGGTTCCGCAGGAGTTAAGGTGGGGAGATGGAAGTATGGAGATCTGTAGGTGGACGAGCAACCTTGAGAGTCCTGCCTTTGCGGTAGGGCAGCTCTGGGTGGCAGTACGTTTCTGTGGGCAGCTCTGATTGTGCGTTGCTGTCCCAGAGTGGAAAGAAGGTGACGAGGGATAGTGTGGCAAGGAGCCAGGGTGAGGGTGGAGCGTGGATTGTCCACGTGGGCGGTGACATGGTCCGGCTGGGGCGAGGAGGGGTGACGTGGGGCAGGAACTGGGTGATGGCCCTGAGAGCAGAACTGGGTGGGAAATAAGGAGAGCTGAGATTTCTCAGAAAGAGAGGTCTATTTTGCCCCCTGTAGATTTTGAAAAGCATCGGCAGCACCTTCTCAAGGGCTGTCTGCAATGCTTTTGCACCCAGGAAATGAACGTGCTTGGGTGTGTGCTTCGCCAGAGGCATGAGTCTCCTGTCATCGGGTGTTTGGAGACGTCAGGTAGCTCATGCAGAGAGGTGGCTGCATTTTCTCCTCAGTTAGTCATTTGGTTGCTGGCCTGCGCCTTGGAATGCCCTTCTGAGCAATGGCAGGGCGTCTTTGATGTGCCCCACCTGTTGTTTACCTGTCTACTAGAAGTTCAAAACTGCTCAAGGCAATTGTAGGCCATTATAAAACACGAGTAGCCGACATGCCTGTGCTCTTTCTCCCATGCTAGGTCTGTATGTTCCAGGCAGTTTTCCCTTTACGTGTTAAAGTGGTCACCATAGATGCTTTTTCAGCAAACTTGCCAATCCTTTTAGAATCTAATTCCCTTTCAGCTACACCTCCTTTAGCACACCTACACCGTGCTCAGAACTTCATATTCTTATCTCACTCTACACAGAACACCTTCGGAGGAAGGCCTTATTCTCCCCACTTCAGAGAAATAAAAACAGAGGCTCAGAGACTTGAAGCAAAAATTGCCCCGTTTATACAGATAGTACATGACTGAGCCCATATTCAGGCCCAGGTCTGTCTGGCTCCAAAGGGCCAGTCTTCACTGCATTGTTTCCAGTGGCAATGAAAACATACTTATTTAATACACTTTAGCCATTGGAGTGTTATAATAATTTTCTAGTTTATTTTGGTAGATTATTAATTTGGATTTTCACTTCTTGACTCAATTTTTTCCTTAAAGCTATCAAAATATATTTATTCCTATTAAATAAAGGAAACACATAATGGAGAATTTTTTTTTAACATCAAGAAATGCATCGCCAGTCTAATAATGCCAACACAGTTGTTGCAAATTCACTGGTGTAGTTCCTCCGCCCCCGCGAGGCCACCCCCTCCTTTAATTCAATAATGGTCCCTGGCTGACCCCTAGTGGAAAATGTGGGGATAGCACTTTGAAGTCAAGTTTATAGATGCCAGAACAGTTCTTGGAAATAGCCACATGGCCTGTTCATACACAGGGTGTATAAACTAACTTTCATCCGGATTAACTGAGAATAAAGGTGAAGGTAGAGACTCTTGAGTTTTATATATTCCCATGGTTCTGTAAATGCACTTCACAGAAACTGAACTCACATTTGTGTTTGAAATTAATTTGAACTAGTAATTCAGAGTTTGAATGCATGATAAAGTATCAGTGTTATAACAATCCAAACGTTTGTTTTCTCCAAGTTATGGAGACTGAATCAAAGTTTCTTTTTTACCCCTTTTGTTAAAAAGAAAATGAGTACCGCTTAGCCTAAATATTTTTACTGTGATGTCCCAGATTGTACAAAATACAACTAAAATAACGTTTTAAGTTGTTTTTAGCATAATGCTTGTAGGTTCAGTTACACTACCCTTGAAAAATGAAAATTACCTTAAATAAGCAAGAAAAGCTACCCAACCTATTTTTTTTTTTAATCCTTAGGCAGCTAGTTGGGGTAATTATCTTATCATTTTATATTCCCTGAAATATTAATAACATACGACAACAATAACAGTGTTTAAAAGCCTCAAAGCACTAAACTCCAGAAGGCTGAGGGGGGAGGGGCGAGGGGGGAGGGGGGAGAACACGCAGAGACAGTGAAAGCCAAGGCTGCCAGGCCCTCCCTGGGGAGGAGCTGAGCGCTGACCCTGGGTTCTAGCAGCAGCTCTGGAAGGTAGGCCCTGTGACCATCTTCAAGTCCAGGGAGCGCGTTCAGAGACGTGAGAGCACCCACCACGTCAGTGCCCGAGCAGGCCCTTCAGCGCTCTTCCCTGGCACCGCAGCTCAGTCCGCTTCTGGTAGATTCTAGGGCGCACACAAAAGATGGGAGGTGCGGGGGTGCTATAGGGAGCCAGGAGAGTTAGCTGGTGACAATCTCATAGCATAGGAAGGAGGAAAACAGAAAGCTCCCAGCAATCTTTCTTGAGTGGTTTGGGGAAGACCAGTTGTGCAGATCCTAGGCCTTACTTCCCAGGCTTTTGGATCACCAGATGGAGGTTGACTTCAGCAGAGCAGGGTTGGGTAGCAGAAATCCACATTTTATGATAAGCTGACCAGCAGATACTAATGATCAGCCAGGTTTTGGAACTGCTTGGTGAAATGTTTCCTCTTTCTTCTCTCCCCTCTCCTTCCCTTTCCACCACTACTGCACCCCCTTTTTCTCCCCGCCTCCTTCTTCCCTTTGTCTCCCAACCCTCTCCCTTCCCCCACCCCCCTCTTGCTTCCTCCCTCCTTTCCTTCCAGGTCGGGGCTGGAGTTTTAGCTCTAGTGCCTCTGTTGTGCAACATCTTCTCCCCCCATGGGGGCGCTTCTCTGTTTGAATCCCTTGAACTATGAGTTAATGCTTTTATGTATTTATGAATGAATTTATGTAAACGCTTTTCAAAAACCACTTCTTAGTTGGATAAGACCCATATTAAGATTGGTAATTTAAAGCAGATACTCCTTCAAAACAAGATAATTGCAATTAATAGCTACACTTTCTTCTTTCAGGCCAAGCAAGCAATACTTGAAATGGATGCCATTCGTAAGTTCAGTTTCCTTTACAGATTTTGAAACTTCATTTTCTACTTGTATCTATCACATTTTTCTATCTTAAAGTTTATAACAATGTCAATTGTAAGTAGCAGCTCTCTACTCACTGTTTTAACAAATAGAGTCAACAGCCAGTATTATCCCTTCCTGACACATTGATTTGTTGCTAAGTTGATTCCTCCTGCTTCATCAGTGAGTCACCTGATGGCCAGCCAAGGGGTGAGGGCCTCTGTCAACTACGGTATTTTATTGTGTATAATGCGCACTTTTGCCCAAACTTTTGAGGGAAGAATAAGGATGCACATTATACGTGGGTAGAACTAATTCTGTATCTACATAAATGTTTTTAATTCTTTCATTTATGCTTATGCATTGAAAGTGTAACTCTAGAAAGCAATAACGATACCCGTATGCAAAATAATACCCTGGAATACAATAATTGGTTTTGTTTCTAAATGTAAATAAATAAATAATGGAATTAAAAAATTAAAACGAAAGAATTTTCCCTGAAAGTTTGGGCCAAAAACATGCACGCACATTATACACAGGAGTGCATTATGCACAGCAAAATATGGTAGCAACATAAGATACACTTCCAGGGTCAAATCCTCCATCACCACCAGCAATGAAGGTCTCACAGCCCACCTCCCCCCTCCCCCCATCTACAGAACATTGTGTTGATTACCTGAAGGCATCATGATAACTAGATAGTCACTGGTTTTCCTGATAACAGCGCATATTTCGAAATTACAACTGCCCCACTGATGTGATTGTATTTCTGAGCTTATTCAAGCAGGCAGAGAATAAATAGAAATGAGGTCTTTTCTATAAAACAAGACCTTGTTCAGTAGCACTTATCGTATTCTTGTTACCTCCCAGATTCAGTGTAATAAAAAGAGAAACAATGACTTTAAAGACTGACAGCCAGGTCTGACAAACTTTTACTTAAAACTTTCTAAATCACTTACATTTGAGGAATCACCCCAAGTGCAAACACTGGCTCACTTAGTCTCCAACCAGCTGGTTGTTAACTCTCCAGAAGGACAAAGAAACATTCCTGAAGGAGAAAGATGAGCGTGCCTGCCCCGGTGGCGGGGAGGCTGTGTTTCACGTCCACCAGATTCTGAGGAAGGATCCCCCCAGAGCACGAGGCTGGGGCTCGCTGCCCGGTGGTCTCTAAATGCCCATGTTCTATGCAGTGGAAATCTCTAAGTTTTTTTTTTTTTTTTTTTTTTTTTTTTTAATAAAAGCATTCTAAAGAGAAGGCAAGGTCAGGAATGGCCAGGTGAGATTAGTAGGAAAGACGGAGAGGTGGGCCTGGACAGGTCCGCTCTTACTGTGATGGGTTCCATTTATGAAATGATTTCCTCATTCCCAGGATCTGGGCTGGCTCTTGGGCACCATTAAGATTTTACGGTGCAGAGAATCATTTCAAGCTGCAAATTGGTGCCGTATGTCTGCCTCCTGGGCCCAGGACAGGGCCAGGCAGCCTGGTCTAGGGAAATAACCTTATTTGCCTGACACTGACTTTGGACTTGGCTGAGTGTGAACAGAGTAGGACAGTCCATTGGACCAAATGACCTTATTTATACAACTTTACCACTAACACTGCAGAAGCGTGTGGTCTCTGTGACCCTCAGAACCCTCTCCACGTTCGGTGCCTTTGAAGAGCGTTAACCCCGATCTGAACACCGGTCTCCAGCTCCATCCTTCCATTGTTCCCCTCAGGCTCCGGCGCGTGCAGGTGATCACTGATATGCCGCAGCGCTTTAGGGTTAGACCAGATTTCCTTAATCCAAAGTCCGTGTGCCCCTCAGCCGGGGTAGAGAGACAAACTCTGAAATCAAACGGAAAACCCTTTTCTCACAAGAGAGCCTAAAGCATTCGTCAAAGGCTCCAAGGAGCAAAGTCTAGACGAGGGAATTATGAGTCACTGACCCGCAGGGCAGCTCCCGTAGGGGCAGGACGGGCTTGCTGTCCTCCACCAGGCCAGGCACGCGTGCCTCCCGACATTCTCCCAGGGGTTTTACCTGGACAGGGCCTCCGCGGGGGCCGGCCCCACCGCCTGTCAGGGGCACACGCCGAGGCCTGAGGTGCACATCCCACCCCAGTCATGTCGAGCAGGAGAATGAGTGCGTCAGGGTCCCAGCCGAGGCGTCCCCAGACCCTGACACGTGCGCTTGCCTTTGCAGATCATCCGGGCTTCTGCTACAGTCCTGAGGGGCAGGCGAAAGCCCTCTCCACTCCGTACCGGCCGAGGAGAAAATCTGGTAATTCAAATGTTGTAATCAAAATTTAATCACTGTGGGGGACTAGCAATGAGAGTCCCTTTCAATCTGACAAAAGGCGTTTTCTTTCTGGTGCTGGAGTTCACAGCCAGTCAGAGCGCAGTTGTGGCTGCATCAAGATGGGGCTCCTGAGTTTTTGCTCTCAAACTCTTTTCTACTTAACTCTCTCTCTTTTCCATCGCCTAGAACACATATTAATCAAGTAATGTTGCTTCGCATAGCATCTTACCATGGGCACACATGTACTTAAACCCTAGTTAGTGTCACCAGGGGGAAAATTGTATCCTATAAATGCCACACGGCAAAGATGATTCAAACCTAAAATTTTAACACACAGCTGCTGAAGCAGACCTCAGATTTTTTTTTTCCACCTGAATCACTATTTATTGAGTCCCTGTGTAATCTGTGCTAAGGATCACAATGCAAAAATAAATAACACACATGACTCCTGCTTGCAAGGGTTCCTAGTCTAATGGGAAAGTCAAAAAATACCAGTCCGTATGATAGAGCTGTGGTAGAGTTGAAGGGAAGGGAGCGTGGAGAGCCGAAGCAGAGGTTTGCGCTCCAGGAAGGAGAGAGCGGGCTTCGGAGAGCAGCGAACTGGTACCCCCGGATGGAATCTAGGAGCTGCGAAGGCAGAAGGGGAAGGACGAGGTCGTGCAGTGGCCCTAAGACTTGAGACAGCACATCTCAGATGGGACCTCTGTTGCCAGCTGTTCTGACGGCTGCAGCATGGGGTGGAGCTGGGGGTGGAGTCGGGGTGGGCGACCGGTAAGGAGAGCGGCACAGACATCAGGGGATCAGAGCGGGGCCTGACCGTGGAAGGCGAGAAGGCCACACCGAGGGCTGGAACTCGAGCCTGCGAGCCGCGGAAGGATAGCAAGCAATAAGATACTTGCCTTCTGCAAACAGAGTTCTGGCTTGACAGGGAGAGAGAAATAGGCAGGGAGGCCAGGCAGGAAGCGGCCCCTCCAGTCTGGGTGAGAGATGCGGAAGGCTGGGTAAGACCGCAGTGGCCGGGGTGGAACGCTATGGGGCCCCGCAAGGCTGATGGATAAAAACAGGAGGAATGCCCCCGGTCGGTCGATAATTTGGGAGGGTAGTGTCAATGATGGCCAAGATAAGAAAGACAGGTGAAGGAGCAGACGTGGGAGGAGACGGGCCAGCAGAGGTGGAGACGTGCCGCGTTTGCGGGGCCTGTGGGAACGCTGGGGAGATGTCCGACCCGCGGTTGCCCTATCAGGCCTGAGGCTTGGGACAGGGGCCCAGCATAAGAGTGTAAAATTGAACATTATCAGCTTACAGGAGGTAGTTAAAGCTAAGGAAGTTGCTGTACCCGTTGGTAGGATTGGCATCTGTTATGTGACTCCTGACTGCACAGCTTAATGTTTATATCCCAGTTTTGATGAAGCAAATGTCTTACTGCTAAGTACCTCTAAGCAATGGGCATGTAGGTAAATTTGGTGGAAAACTTCTAGAGCTGAAATGATTTGCCCATCGACTAATAATTTACTTATACAGGAAAAAAAACCTCTTGATTTGGCTTTGCAAATGATGCTGGCCTTCTTTTTTCTCCCAGAACCTTCCTCAAGATCACATAAAGTTTTGAAGACCAGTGGTAAGTCCTAAAATATCTTTTCCTTTTTAGCCTTGTTGATGTTCACTGTCAAACCATACGCACAAAAAAAAAAGAAAAAGAAAAAGAAAAAGCACCAGATGAGTGACAGATTTATAGACTTGATTAACTTCTACAAGGGGGATCCAAAAAACCCAGAATTTATTTATTAAAAAACCTGTAGATTTATTCTTATGTTTCAAACTTCAGTCACCTTCAAAGTACTCCCCATTTGATGCAATACACCTATCAAGACTTTTTTCCACTGCTCAGAACAGTTTTTAAACTCATTGATTTTGGTGCCTTTTAGTGCTTCTGACAGTTTTTGTTTCACCTCTTCCACATCAGCAAAACCTTTCGCTTTGAGAACTTTTTTTATCCAGAGAAGCAAACAAAAAAATAGTCACTGGGGGCAAGATTGGGTGAACAGGGAGGGTGGGGCACAGGGGTCATGCCATTCAGGGTCAGAAACTGCTGGGCACTCAGTGCGGTGTGGGCGGGTGCGCTCGTAAGCCACCCGGCATGAAATGGGCAGGCGCTTTGAAAGAGCCTTCAAAAAAACTTCACTGAAGCCAAACGGAGCCTCTCGCAAGGCGCCTGCCCTCCGGAAGATAATTCTGTTTTCTGCGAGGGGCCGACCCGCCTCATGTCAGTAAAAGTGCCCCATTATAAAATGTAAAGCCAAATGACATAAAACATTTGCAATATAGTTAATAGGCATAAAAGAGTTAATACCCATATTATTTTTAAAAATTCTATATATCAAAAAGAAGAGACAAAGGACGCTTTTTTAAAAGGTAGACAACGTAATTGGGCAGTTCCACAGAAGAAACACAGATGGCCAACGAAATTGATAAATGGTCCCATATCAGTAATCAGAAAAATCATGCATTTAAGTAAGATAAATAATGGAGGGAAAGCCATGAGCTTGACCAAATGATACAGAAAAACAGGCACTTTGAAACTCTTGGCATGTGAATTTCTGCAACCTTTTTGGAGCAAAATGTGGTAATATCCATTTACATTTAAAATGTGCTTTAGAGGGAATATTCTGCAGCTGTCAAAAAGAAGGGAGCATGTCTCTACCTACTGACAAGAGTGTCCACGTATATTTAGCACGAAACGCAATATTGTATATTGCACCTTTAGTTTAAAAATTACAACTTTGCCTAGTGGTGGGACGAGAGCAGCAGGTAGACCTAGAAAGATGAACATTAAACTGTGAAGTTTGGCTACCTCCACCGGCTGGGATTTGTGGAGATTTTTACTTTCTATGCCTCCGTAATTAAGCAGTTTTTAAAGATGAAATGCACATAATCAAGGTGCCTGGAAGAGTCTCCGCAAGGATTTTGCTCTGTAAGTCTGTCCCGAGTCCCAGGTGTACCACTCCTTAGCCCAGTGCCTAGGTGCTCCTGGTGGTAAGGGCTGTCTTTCCATTGTAACCAATAGGATGTTTTAAAATTAACAGAAACATGGTCTTTTGTTTAAATGATTTTCATGGCCAAGGCCATGAGGAGTTTTTTCAGGTACTACACGTTTGGAGGGGGAACAGCTTTTTAAATTTACTAACATGCGTTGGTCCATTGCTCTCAGGGACTAAGAATGATAATGCTCAGGTGGATGTAAGGTTGTCTTACCTGTAGTGCAGGGCATATAACTGGCGAGGCAGTTTCTGAAAATTAGGTCTAAAGGGCCCAGAAGTTTCTTTGGCTTTAACTATGAACCATAAGTATAAAAATCCTATAGAATATGAGTGCTTACTTATCTGTGAGATGCATTTTTAATCCACAAACTTAAAAAAATAACTTTTATTTTTCAGGAACAGCACAAGACATCCAAAAGGTAAGCACCCTTATGTTTCTTATTTTGAAATGTTTATTTTTATAGGTACGCTTATATCTCTCATCTCCAGCCTGTGTTCCAAGTGTAAAAAATTATTTTACATTTTGAAGTAGAGTTAGGTGAGGACACATCCTTATTATCACCTCTCTCCCCTGCTTCATCTCTCAGAATGAAGGCAATACAGCCTTTGGCCCTCCACCCCACCTCTCAGAAGCCTGTAGGCTGCTGTAGGATGTTACCAGCTGTACATCCTAGCCTGGCCCATCCCACATTGCCCTGTGTCTCTGCACATGTAAGACTAAGGTTCTTACATCCTGAGTATCTATCACTCCCTTCTCCAAGCATTAGCCTTCAGGCACAAAGATCCCTTACTAAGAATACGGTCCTGCTGGTAGTGTAAGCAGTGGGATCCTATTCATATAATTAAATTTCGCTATAACAAGTTTTGATCTTTTTTCTTCTGATAAAGGTTAGGAGGGGGGAATAAAAATGGCGTGCTCCACTGGAAGATATATATCCATATTTATGACTTATAACGTGTAGCTGCTGCATCCTGACCGAAGTAAACCTTACCCAGAATGGCTCCTGGTCAACTGTCTCAGTGAACAATTCTTAGAGAACTGATCACGGCTTCTTGATTAACATTCTGTATCTATAAAGATGTAACTGTGCAAATGTCACCTGCACCAGGCCTTAGCACAGGGCCAGAGTGGCTGTTAGTAAAGGCTATAGCTTTCAGTTAGATCCAATTAAATGTTTAAAAATCAATATAGTCTTATCTCTAAGTGATTTTCTTAAAATGTAGGGCACTTAGATTTTCTTCAGGTAGTGCATATTTTTGTTTGGAAGCTTTTAAAACTTACCAATATTAATTGGTTGATGGTTCTGAAATATGACAGGGGAGTTTGAATTTTTTTTTAACCTAGTTTTGTTTTCATAAATAAACACTATGGTGGGCAGGGTGGGGGGAGGTGCCTGGCTCTTTAAGTCAGCATACAGATGGAGCCAAGCCCACTGGTCCTGGGGCCAGAGGTGGGGGGGGGGGGGGGGGCAGGGGGGGGGAGGGCCGGTAAGGGGATTGCTCTATTAGTCCCAGAGATACCATCTCAAGAGCTTCTTGAAAAATTTCTACAATAGTGATCAAGCCAAGCCTCTGTATGAGGAATAGCTAAATCCTGTGAAATCTAAAGACAAGAAAGAACTGAAGCACCAATGTACTTTTTGCTTAATGGTAAAATTCCACCTCCTAATAGTACTGAACCTATAAACTATATGCAAGGAGAACAGATTTACTAATGACTAATGAGTTCATAACAGGAATAGTCCCTAATAATATCTTATTATTTCTCCTAGAATATATATTCCAATGCCATGTGTATATGTGTGTGTATACATATAATATATTATATATATATATATATATACACATAGAGAGAGCGGTGGAGGAGGAGGGGGAAGGACAGAAAGGTTAAGCACATATAGAAGCTGTGCATTAAGACATGAATGCAAACCCATTTCTGCCATTCATAAGCTTTATAACTATAGGCAGGCTGTTCACTTGACCAAGACTTAGTTTCCTAATTTACAGAGGTATTATAAAGTTTAAATGTGATAATATGTTTTTAAAAGTGCTCAGTACAGTATTTGGCCCAAAGTAAGCCCTTCATAAGCTACTGTCACATTGTTATTAAATAGCCATAATGCTGTGGATGTGGAAGAACAGAGAGGAAGGCTCACCGTGGCTCTCGTGAGACTGAGGGATCTCACCGATGTGCTGCGAGGCTGTCCCAATCCATGTACCGATTATTTCTCAACCTAAGAGCTCCTTCAGTTCTCCTGATGATGTATTAGATGTAAAATTTTACCTTCCAAAGTACTGGTATCTTCATCTCACGTGTAATTACCTTCAAAATATACTTTGATATTAACAATTCAGGTGTCCTAAGTGTCTAAAATGTCTGGGAATTTTTCTGGGATGATTTTTAAGGCAGTATTATTTCTGGCTGTTTACAAATCTTTTTATTGTACTTTCAAAGTGTTTTGTTGTGACTTAGCTAGTTAACACTAACCTGTTTTATTTATAAAATGTAGTTACTAAGCACCTATATTCTACAAACATACCAGTGCAGTCTGAGTAAGATTAAAGGGGAAAAATACTAAAGGGGGAAAAAAGGCAGAGGGACATGAATATAACACTGTATATGTAATTATGTGTGTGTGTATTTATGTGTTTCTAGACCTCAAATGGTCCACAATTCTAATGTGGAAAAAACATGAACAAAAGACTAAATAATTAATTGGATTTAAGTTTTAAAATTGTAATAGAAAAATAACATTCAAGGTGAGATTTTATTCTTGCCCTCTCTCCTTTTCTCTTCCCTCCCTGCTAGACAGGCAAGCAGACAGACAGACATATTGACAGGTAGATATTCCAAGGCTATATGTATCCCAGTATCATTGACAAGTAATGAAAAATTTTTGCTAATTGGACATTTCCAATAGGTCACTGTAGTGTTCTGATTAGAAAATATGTCCCTGTTACTAATTATTTTGAACCGATCTTAACCCTTTCAAAGAAACTCTTTGAAGCAATCTTTGTACCCACAGGGGCCTCCGAGGGCAACCCACCCCCAGTCTGAAGGCCTGAGCTCTGTCTACAAACGTTCCAAATTAAAAAAGACCCCATTGTGTTCTTTGATTAGACATCGTTAATGTCACTCACATTTTACTTCCTAACTGGCATCTAAATATTACTTAATTAACTGTATTTTGAAGGCAAGTAAAAATGTCACTAGCTCAATAGTGGATTAAATTACATTCCTGCAACAAAGGCTCTTTGCCTAGAACCTGTAAACCAAGGCAGTCCTGGTCAGCTTCATGGCAGGTCTGCAGATTTGAGGGAGACCCTTGGGACGTGCAGTCAGATCACTGGCAGGGGCTCCTGGGACACAAAAAGCCACATTAAGACTCCTAGGAGTCAAGCTCCAAATACAAACCGGACACTATGGCCCTCAATGTCTATATATGTATCTTTATATAATGTTATTTGCCAAGGGCACGTCGGAATTATTGGAGTACCTAAGAAGTTTCTGTAGTTAGCTGATTCCCTGCATTGGGGTAAGGGATTTGGAGCCAGACCTGAGGTTGAGTCCTAGCCTTTCTTCTGACTACTGAGAGCAAGTTATTGAGTTCTTATGAGTGTAGATGTCCTTACTGTGAAACTGGCACAACCATATCTAATTCAGAGTGATTGTGAACATCAAGTTTGGAGGGTATCTGCAAATGACCTAGCTTATTTCTAAGTAAATACCAGTTCCTGTCCTTTCTGCCCCTTTTGCAAAATCTAAAGTGCTTTTCAACTCAGGTCAAATCAATGTTTACCGATCATTTTCTTTATGAATTTTACCATCTAGTGGGAGGAGCAACGTGTAAATACAGAAGAGCATCGTAAGTTATGTGTCCACGGTGCTGCAATTCAATTAATGTGTTTCCATTCTCCTCAGGTCTCCAGAGAGGAAGGGTCTCCCCAGCGGACTTCGGCAGGGCCATCTCCTGCCCAGAGGGACAGTCAGCCCGGCAGTTCTGCCATTCTCAGTGCGCTTCGCGGGGGCGGGGCCGTCAGAAACATCTGGACAGACCACCAGATCAGGCAAGCCCTGTTTCCCAGCCGACGGTCCCCACAGGACCACGAGGATGATGAAGATGATTACCAGATGTTCGTGCCATCCTTTTCCTCTTCAGATTTGAACTCTACCAGACTGTGTGAAGATAGCACTTCAAGTCGCCCTTGCAGTTGGCACATGGGACAGATTGAGTCCACAGAGACCACCAATTCTGGCCACAGGGTTGTTAGGCGAGCTAGCAGTGCTGGTGAGAGCAACACGTGCCCTCCTGAAGTCGGAATGAGGGACAGCGATGGCTCTCCATACAGCCCCCGAAGGGAACTGCAGAATGACCCTAAAACAGAAGGGCAGGACGGATTGACTCTCTTTGGGTCATCTATAGAGTTGACTATTGATGATATAGACCACGTCTATGATAACATAAGTTATGAGGACTTAAAAGTAATGGTTGCTAAACGAGAAGAAGCTGAATCCACTCCCCTAAAATCAACCAGGGACTCTGTTCGACCCAAGAGCACCCCAGAGCTAGCCTTCTCAAAAAGCCAAGCTGGCCGCGAGAAGATCTCTGTGCACACAAACAAAGACGGACCTCTGACAGGGCGCGAGGCATCGAACCAAAGCACACATGAACTCGAGGTGGTTGAGAACATCTATGACACAATCCGGCTCCCAGACCCACCCTCCTCTCTGGATTTCAAATGCAGCAGCCTACAGCGTCCGAAGAGGAGCACCTTCTTAGGTCTGGACACTGACTTTGCATGCTGTGACAGCCTGCGGCCCTTCATTTCCCAGGACAGCCTCCAGTTCAGTGAGGACGAAACGTCTAACCACCAGGGACCCTCTGATAATGACTATTTGAGTTTGCTGTATAACTCTTTCAGCTGTAACTTGCCTCTAGCTGATAAGTCTATATCTGATAAACTGTCCGAAGAAGTAGACGAAATCTGGAATGACCTGGAAAATTACATTAAGAAAAACGAAGTCAAAGCTAGAGACCGGCTCCTCGCAGCATTTCCCGTCAGCAAAGATGATGTGCAAGACAGGCTGCACGCTGAGAGCACGCCCGAGCTGAGCAAAGACACGGGGCGGGCCCTGTCTACGCTCTCGCTCCCTGAGCGCCATGCCCTCCTCACGCCGCTGAAGGACAGGCCCAGCAGAGCCAGCCGGGCCAGCTGCCCCTTGGAAGAAGACCTCATATCCAAAGAAAGCTCCTTTATGAGTCTAAACCAGCTGTCGCTGGCCGCTGAAGTGCCTCCCATGGAAAATCCCTATGACTTGGCCAACAACAGTCTGTCCCAAGCAGACCTAGACAACCCTGACCCTGGGGTGGATGCCGCAGATAAGACCAAAAGCAGAGTTTTTATGATGGCGAGGCAGTACAGTCAGAAGATCAAGAAGGCAAATCAGCTTTTAAAAGTGAAAAGCCCCGAGTTGGAGCAGCCACCGGCCAGCCAACAGCATAAAACTGTGCACAAAGACCTGGCAGCCATCTTAGAAAACAAGAAGCAAGGAGGGCCTGCCATCGGTACGTTCCTTCCCACTGCTTTTCTGCCTTCTTGAAAGTGAGACGGGAGAGCAGCTTTCAGGTTCTAAATGCCCTTAAAACCGTGAGCACATTGTCACTCAGGCATACCTTCTCTCAGAGTGAGATCACAGACTTACGAAGTGGGCTGTCAAAAAACTAATTTGCCTCCCACCTCTGTAAGTTCTTCTGGCTGGGCTAATAATCAGATTGACATGAGACACATTAGCAGGAGAAAATGTCCAGAATGTATTACAGACATATTAATATATGTGGGGGTGCCCTAAGAATATGAGACTCAAGGATGTATTAGGCAGTTGAGGCTTATATGTCATTCTGGAGCTAAAGAGAAGGCGGGCGTGGGGAGCGGGGGTGATTTGGGATTTCAAAGGGCGGGAAAGCAACTCACATGGAGAAAAGCAATGTTTGCTAAATAAATGTTTGAGGAGCCATCGTCTTTAACGATGGGACACAGGGAACTTTGAACCAATGGGCCTTGGTGGGTCCCTCCCTGTCTGTCACTAGTTTTTATTAAACTGTATGTTGATGACTTCCTGCTGGAATTATCTAAATTCCTTTTAGGAAGTTAGGAGGAAGGTCAAAGGTTTTGCTGGTGTCTCCCTTTTCTTAAACATAACCAGCTTAAAATAATCGATATTCCCCAAAGGCATATTTTGGGGTGGCAAGCTCTGTACCCCTTCACCAGCAAGCAACACAGACCCTTTAGCACATCACCGACTCACGCAAGTCAGAGCGTGATTTGGTCTCAGAGGATTTTTGTTGTGCGTGTATCGTTGTCACTACAGATTCGATGTTTGAAGAAGTTTCCTCTGACGTAATCTGAACTGTGGGAAACAGTGGTCACTTTAACCTGTGGCATCTAGGGCTTTTCCCCATGCATCAGTATGTCAGGAGGAATAGCTCACATGAGCTTTTAAGGTTTGGAAGCGTAAGGAATAAAATTGCTTTTTGCTCCAGAATCCCAACAAAAATGCATACTTGTCCTAAGAGACAAAAAGGAATCCTTTTTGCATTTAACTTACCTGTTACCCTCTAACTCAGTTGTTTTCTCATGTGTTTCGATTACTAGGTGACTTTTTTAAAATAGCTGCTATAATGCACTTAAAGCATGTGTTTGGTAATCTAATATAGGCTTCCAAGTTTAATTCTTTTAGTCAAGTCTCCTTTGTGCGGCAGAACTAAATCAGGACCTCAGGTCTGATAATGGTGAGATTAGGACTGAAGGAATGAGATGTTCATAGCTTGACTTCTTTCTCTGTCATAAAGAAGTACATGCCCCCTGGCTAAATTACAGAGGGTTCTGAGGACAAAACCTAACACTCATCTTGGTGGTGGAGCAGAGATGAGAATAAAGCACCCAATTGTCATGAAAAGAACCCCCACCCTTAAGGCACCTGCTCTCTCACCTGAGGATCTATTCACCTTCCAGATCCAGAGAGATTTCTGGGGTAGGCTCAGGAATTAGCATATTAAACAGTATGGCCTTTCAATCATATGTTACGATTCCGTGCCCTAGCTTTTCTGACAAAGGACCACTTTAGTATCAAATGAGAGGAGATGGTTCTCCAATTAAAAGTAAAAACCAAGCAGCTCAGTATCAGGGTACGTCCAGATGCTTAGCCTGGTGGCAAAGTGGCTTCCCTACCAGGTTGACGCCACTATCCTCCTTTTTAGGGGATTGGTTTCTTTGTCTTCATGGAAACCAGAAAATAAGAAGGGGATATCCAAGTCCTCAATGAATCTACAAGTTACATGACACAAGTCTCTAGGGATTTTGTTTTAAACTGTGAGAGTATTTACAAATTGTCTAAAGCTCTACTCTTTTCCTAGAGCTAATCATATAATAAAATTTCTTAACAGGTAGGGAAGTGGAGCCCTGGAATTGTTACCTGAAGGACTTTACAGGCTCTTTTGGAGATGTTCTTCTTTTTAAGTAAAGGTTAAAAGTGACTTATGTACAAATGTGAGAGGGACTAGGTCGCACATATTTTTCTCTTTGCAGTGATACGCTTGAATTAGTTCATGTCCCCTTTGCAATGCTGGATTGCTAAGCTGGTTTGTTGGTACACATGGAACACATGGCCGAGTTCCAGCTGCAGAAGGGCTCTTTGGGGGGCTTAGGTGGCAAAGGGAACAGCAGTGAATCGGCAGTGCAGCCACGGACTGAATCTGGGCTGAGGCTCCTCAGAATGAGAGAAAGTGAAACGCTAAAGCTCCTGCCGATGACAGGAGCCGATGATTATGCCAGCAGACTCATTTAAAAAGTGGTACTCCCCTGAGCCAAGTTGTTTTGAACATAGGCCATCCATTAAAATGCAAAATTCCAACCCTAATAGAAGCACATCTTTCAATACTGACTCTGTGGCTTACAGCTACCTTGAATAGTCTTCTTTACTACTCTTCTTTTAAGTATGAATAAATTTCCCTTTGTGGTTTTCTTTTGCTTTTCACTTTTGGTTTGTTCTCCTTTTTGTTTTGCCTGCTGGTGTATCTTGGGACCCCATAGAGTGTTTTTGCGGCTTTGTGTCTGGGTCCTTCCTCAACATGGTGGGCTGCTATCACGTTCTCCCCAACAAAGAGGAGAAGCTCTCGCCCAAGGCATCTTCTGAGAGTGGAGTCGTCCCTAGGCCTTCTGCCTCTTGAACCTGAGGAATCTTCCATCTGGGTGGATCGAGACCACTTCCTGTGCCCACTAGGCTTTCAATCAGTTGACGTGATGACTCCTTTTCTCTCTCTTGTTTATCTGGGCACAGGACGTCGTAATCGAATGGACCGATTCTCCAGACTTCTTCGTATGGGCCTTGCCACTTTGCCAGGAGCTTGCTCTCGGTGTTGTCCAGAAGGAGGAGCACCCTATTCACCTGCTGAAACTCTCGAGCATCTTTATTGAACTCTCTAGCCGGGATCTATAGGCCCCGGGTCAGATTTGCGCCTAGAATTCACCCAACCAGGTCTAGTCGCTCCTACCTTTTAGAGCATGATGTAGCTTGTTGGACCTTCCTCCTGAGAGTCTTTGAGGCCAGCGAGGGCTTGGGGGTCCCTTTTCTGTCATGTTTTACATGGGAGGAAATGCCATACAGGCTTCAGGAGTTTTCCTCCTTGTGCAAAGTAGGGAAGGCAAAAGGACCTTTTATGCTTCATTTCATATCTCCAGCAACATCAGACACACTGATTTTAATCCTCTGTCTTGAAAACAGTGTATTTCATAGTTCTCTCAACAAGCATCCTTTCACATTTTTATCTGGAATCATTAAAAAGAGAAATAAACCAGAGACAGCCTTGGGGTTGTCACATAATAATAATGTGCATGTTCTATCAAGACTATTAATGGCAGAACCAAGGATGAGGGCAAACTTTGATCCAGCTGGCTAATACTAAGCTTTTTAGGTTAGTGTTATCTTGGGCTGGCTATTTCTTACCTATCTGGCTCAGGAAATCTAATGACAGCTGTTGCTCTGGAAGCTTCTCTCTTGTTCACATCAAGCAAGTTAGAGTCTCTCATAGAAGGTCAACTTTAGACCAAAACAACAACAACAACAACAAAACAAAATTTGGATAGACACAGTATATTGTCTACCTGTGAGATACTTTTTATTCCAAATCTATAAATGGCCCACTTTTTTTATTATCCAAAGATAAACTATGCATTACGAGTTACCTACAGGAAGCATTTTAACCAGAGGTTATCTTCCCGTTTCCCTGTGTCCTGCTGTGCCCCTGATTTCGAGGCTGCCTTTCCACTCTCAGTGGCATGGTCTTAGGTGAAGCACATCCATTTTCAACACGATGCTGAAAATAGGAGGCAGAGTCCCAAAGTTATCCGAGTAAAGAAGTGTTTCCTGCAATCACTTTCTATCTCAAACTATGTGTGGGGCTCTGTAGGGATTGTTTCCCCAGATTAAAAGCTCACAGACTAGCTCGAATAATAAACTAACCCATATAAAAAACAACTAGCAACACAAGAGTGTATGTGCATGCAGGCATGTACATGCATTTGTGCTCCACCAATAACTATTGGTTGCACACTAAATATGTACAAGGGTACACTCAGTATAAGGCCTCAGAAAGAGAAATCAGTTAGAAAAGGATTCATGGAAAGGGTAGGGCATATGGGGGGTTTTGAGAGGTAAATAGGAACTTTATTAAGCAAAGGAAGAAGAGGGTGATAAGGGAGAAAAAGGCATGAAAAATAATACAGATATTTTGGATGGCACGTGGTGTCAGATTATGTGGGCCACTGTGTTCTAAAGTCAAGAATTAATTGTTCTTATAAGACTCTGTGGTCACATCTGGGTACTGGAACAGTGTGGCCAAGTTTTTAAATCAGCTCTCATGGCTTTCCCCAGAGCTGTTGTCTTCTTGGAAGCTTGTGAAAGCTGTGAGCCTTCCCAGTTCAGCTGTGGGGTCAGGCTCAGGACCATAGTGTAGGTGAGGGTGGCTTGGGCAGGACTGTCGGACTTTCAGGTGGAACTGCTAACCAACAGTTACGTCTAAGGTCCAACTGCCTTTGGTTGGGTTTCATAGTTAATGAAACAGTATAGATTTCAGGATGGCTACCATGGGTACCTTGGTGTCCATGTACACCAGGGGTGTCCAACCTTTTGGCGTTGCTGGACCACACTGGAAGAAGAAGAGTTGTCTTGGGCCACACGTTAAATACATTGTGACATGTAATCACAAAAAAAAATCTTGTAATGTTTTAAATCTATTTATGATTTTGTGTTGGGCCATATCCACAGGCAACCTGAGCTGCATGTGGCCCATGGGCCACAGGTGGGACACCCCTGATAGACTTTCAGTGTCCTAAGGGGTTGTCAGTTCTTAATTGGTATTGAGAGTCGGTACTATGCCCTTTAAGGAAGGAATAGCAGCTCAAGTATTTATTACTAGAAATTCTAACCTAATAATCTCTGTCCTGCCAAGGAATTTGGATTTGAAAACCTGAACAATCTTGATATGGGGCCTATAATGAGAAGTTAAACAGATTATTTAACCTGATTTGGGGGACCAGGGAGCAAGTAATTTGAGGGGTTCACAAATTAAAGGGCACCCAGGATAACAGCAGGTTATTTTCTGTCTTCATAGAAGATAGTCTCAGGAGAAATGGTAGAAACTGAGCTAAAAATTTAGTGTAAATTTATGGAATAATTTACTAACAACAGTTTACTAAAAATATAAATAACTTAAAGAAGAAGAAAATGTAATGTCACTTGCTGATTATCGCATGTGGGATAGATTCCCTTCATAGAGACTGTGGAGATATGGTCTGAGTGATTTATAGGGTATATGGGAGTCTTTGATTCTAGGGTAGTCTTGTGAGTACCTGGTTGGGGGTTCAGAGGGAAACTGCTCTTGAAATTGACACCTCTGGGCTCTTTCTCTTAAATCATCCCTGGTCCAAGAGAATTCTCTATTCTTAGCAGGGCTCTGTTAATGTCTTTAGAAAGGTCTGTACTCAGAAGTGGAGCAGAGAATGGCCTCAAAGATTAATTTGAAGTGGCACTAGCTTTTGTGGAAGTAATGGGCAAATCCTGTTCTGGAACCAATACAACAGGCATTAGAGGATCGATTATATACACAGACGGTTCCTTCTTAAGGCCTTGGAAGCCCAGACTTCAGTGCCCAGCTTCTAGGGGATGGGAAAGCGTAGGTGGGTGAATCGATGCCTGCCGTTCTGAAGTGCTGGAAGGGAGGACCCCCCAAAGACCTTGACTCCCAAGACAGTGGCCGTGGAGGGTCTGCCTGGAAACCAGAAGTTGGGGACAGTTGCAGAGAGCAGACTCTTCTGAGAGCAGTTGTCAGAGAGCAGTCAAGGCTGGTGAGAAGCCAGGCGTAGCCATTGCACGGGGATTGTGGTCATGGTTCTCTTAATGGCTACTTTAATTGAGTTATTTTTCACTGGCCTGGGTTTAGCGCTGGCTTTCCTATTTTTTTGATGTCTATTTTTAGCACAGACACCATTTCATGCTTACAAAGAACACTAGAAATTTTCATGACAAATAGCAAACATTTACAGACCTACCGTTGAAGTAAAATAACCTAGAATTAGATAAAATTAAATGAACTCCTAGGTGGCATTTTTATTTTTTATTAAACTGTGGATTATTTTACTAGTTTGTGTTGCTTAGTAGTCAATGGTTAGTCATCCTCAAACTTAAAATCCTGTCAACTAAATTATTTAAATAGGTTGGAAAGTTATGTTCTTATTTCTTTTCACTTCGGCTGTAGGAATAATCCTGTGTATATTTTTGTTTTGATATTTGCCTTCCAGGTGCCAGGATTGCTGAGTATTCCCAACTGTATGACCAGATTGTATTCAGAGAGTCTCCCTTTAAGACTCAGAAGGACAGCTGGGCCAGCCCTCAAGAATCCTCCAACCTCAGGTCGACATCACCTTCCCAGGCCCAGCGTCGTAGCGAGGACTGGCTTTTGCATTCAACCTATAGTAATGGAGAATTAGCAGATTTCTGCCCTCGGCCAGAGCAAGACTTGAAGCCAAAATATCCCACTTTGGAAATCAACACAAGAAGTACTCCAAGACAACTGTCCACAGCTTGCTCTGTGCCTTCTCTCCAAACCTCCGACCACCCACTGGGTCTCACACAGAGGCACAGCGTGGTAGTCAGTCAGCCCAACAAAGAGATTTCATGTCAGGGCCACCTTTATAACTCCTTGGGTCGGAAAGGAATCAGCGCTAAAGCTCAGCCTTATAACAGGTCTCAGTCGTCCTCCTCCATCTTGATAAACAAGTCAGCGGATTCCATCAACTACCCCAATGAAACAGGAAGCAAACAGCTGCCGTCTTTACACAAGAGTGCAAAGTGTGAGAGTCACCAGGACTTGCTGCCTGGTATAGGTGACTCATGTCCACAGGGTACTGGGAAACGCTCTGATCTCACCCTCCAAGACTCACAGAAAGTTCTGGTAGTAAATAGAAATTTACCCTTAAATGCCCAAATAGCTACCCAGAACTATTTTTCCAATTTCAAAGAGACTGAAGGAGACGAAGATGACTATGTGGAAATAAAGTCAGAAGAAGATGAGTCAGAGTTAGAGCTGTCTCACAGTCGTAGAAAGAAATCTGACCCCAAGACTGTGGACGCTGGCTTTTCCGATAACCTCTGCCGCAATGACACGTCAGACTCTTTGAATAGTCCGTGCACTCCAAAAAAGCCAGTAGGTGGCAAACTGGGAGTTTCACCCTACCTGACACCATACAACGATTCTGACAAACTGAATGACTATCTTTGGAGGGGCCCATCCCCCAATCAGCAAAACATTGTCCAGAGTCTAAGGGAAAAATTTCAGTGTCTTAGTTCTAGCAGCTTTGCCTGAGATTCTTAATAGCGGCTGCCTGAAATGAACTTCTTCCTGTGCTCATGCATAACAGATCCTGGGAGGTGTTTCATACGTTCCAGATTAAAACAGTTTTGTAATAACCAGAGGTGTAAAACATACTTCCTTTTACAGCACAACTTTCTGAAATGGCCGATGACCCAGCTGGGATTGTACTGTAGCCAGTGTCAGCATCTAACTGTTCTCTGATTCTGGTTGTCTTCGTGTTTCATGTAAGTCAGTCTTACTTGAAAATGTCTAGGTTTTCTTTTTTCCTTTTTTACCAAGAAGGCCGTATCTTCCCCCTGCCCCCACCCCCGTTCTGACAGTAGTGCCCAGGCTGTAAGAAATGCAATACTCCTCTCAGTATCCAGAACCCATGAGTAAGTTCATCCTAGGACTCAGGCAATGAGGGGGGTTTTCCCTGTTTTTAAAAGGAAAGGACACTATAGCTGTTTAAAGGATTATGCTCACTGTATCTGCCATTTTTGTTTCATTTGTGGCAAGACCCCTGATAGTTTAAGCTAAAGATCTCTAATTGGTGTGTATAGCCTATGATGCCCATTTTAGAGTTTCTATTCTGGTATTCTTACATCAGTTCATTAGAATGCAGAACTGGTTATAACTATTGGAAATTAGAATGTAACGAGACCCATTTTCTATAAACAGAATCTTTACCTGGATTCCTGGACAAGGCCTGGAAAATGTGCTGCACATCACGTTTATGTTCTATGATTTCTGGGGTATAATGAAAGATGGCTCAAAGAAAACCAAGGGCAAGAAATTGCAAATTGACTTAACTATTAGAGAAGATGGGTTGACATCTGGGAAGAGCTTGATTATCGGCTCATACTTCAGTTACAGGGTTGGGAGGAATAGAACCATTCTTACTGCTTTCTGTGCCTCTCTCTAGTCAACTTGAGTCAAGCTAAAAGAAAACAAAACACTTTAAAATTACCCTCTCCAAAGCCATTTTTCATATGAACGTTCCTGAGGTTTGTACTCAGCCAAACGACCTGACCTCAGCCTGAAGGATTTCCTTGACCAATGGAATCTGTTTCCTAAGCAAACATAATGGTGGGTACGGGGGTGGAGGGCAGGGGAGGGGGGGTGTAGGGCGGTGATAGGACAGGGCTTTTGTCATTGTCCTGAGGCATATAAAAGAACGGAATCTTTGGCTAATGATTTCTGGCTAATGACATCTTTTCTGTTGTGATTATGGTCTTTAATTAGTCATTCATTGTGATAGGTTGTGTTACTATAACTCTTTATGGAAGGAAACTAAAAACAAAGGCAAAACCTTGTGAATAGAAGGCAAAATCAATGAAGCTAAAGAGGAAAATGAAAGTGGATTTCTTGCTCCTTTATAAAAATATTCTATTTTATTAAGACTCCAGTCAGTGTAACACGAACGTTTTTCCAGCCGCGGCTTCTGTATTCGCATTGTAAGCAGTTTTACATTTTGTGGCCCCCTACCCACCCCGCTCAGTTCTCATTTTAAAAGATAGGCTGACACATATAGGGCAAGGAATCTGGGCTTTTCATTCGAAGGTGAGCAGTGACATTGATTTGTATCAATGATGTCTTATCATTGAATTATTCTCATTCTTTCCCCTTTTTTAAGTCCCAGGCCTTTTTTTCTTAACTGTAAAACATAAAATATGACCATCCATTACTGTACAAACAGGTGTCTAAGGCATTCGTTTTTATTTTTAAATTACAAAAAGTAACCCAAATTTCTGGCTTCTCCATACAATTCTTGCTTCTTGTAACTTATAAGACAAAGTCCATACTAAATGGCATATTCTGGAAACACTTCTTTGCATTTCTTTCTTTAAATGTCATAAAGAGTTTTCAAGGTTAGCAGTGTCAGAAAGGACAAGTACTGTAAGAAGTTATGTTTTTAGACTCGCAAGAGGTATTTGTCAGTGCGTTCAAAACAGTTACCTGATTCTTCTTGTCCCAAGAATGCAGTCTGGCGTTTTGCGATCTCCTGTCTATGACCAAAATTCTGCAGCGTCCACATTGCTGTGGTGTCTTACTCTTGGAAATGATTAATTCTTAACACCAGTGTCTTGTTGACAGCTTTGATATCGCCTGTAGGAGTACACCCCATAGCACAATGTGGATGTCTTACTACAGAAAATGTCTGTGTGGTCGTCTTTGGGCTCTACGACAAGCCTCTAATTCTATAGGTCACTTTGGTCACCAAGATGCAGATTTCAAGAGCTGTGTGTATATACATAAAATGTTTGTATTTTCCTCAAAATTATCAGTTAAGTGCTTTGGTTTGAAATAGTTTGTTTTGGAGGTGGGGTGAGGCTGTATATAATTGGAGAAAAAGGGGTGTATGTACTTCAAAATATGTCACATTTTTATTAGGTCTGTGTACTGAAGGCTCAATTTTTTTTTTATCAGCTCACTTTTCACCTACTCTATTCTTTGTGCAAAAAAAATGCATCTAAGAAAACATAGTTTAAATATTGTATATAAGTTAATGAAAGTAATGCTCATTATTTAATAAAGTTTATAAAGTACAAAGTTAATTATAGTGTGAATTAATGTGTTTACTCTAGAATGGACAGTGTTTTTCCAAACTACATTCAGTTAAAACACTTTGCCTTGCCTTATGATCTGTGCAGAAAATGGCTCAAGGTAACTGTGATATACCATATTTCAATGACTGGCCATTTTCTGTATCTTTGGATTTTTTGTACTTTTGAAATATTGAATTTAATGTCTTAGATGGTATTTGTTTTCTTCATAAGGGGCTAAGTTAGATATATCACTGGGGTATCTTTAATCTTTTATTTTTTGGTTTGTAGTAACAAGACATCCTTTTACTATTTCATTATTGAATTTAAAAATTAATATAAAATTTTTTAACAAAAATTAAGGTTTTTTCATGTGATTTCATGTTCTGAATATTTCTGTTAGACAAAAATTTTGCAGAGAACAAAAGCACGTTGATATTAATTGATAATTATGGACACTTTCTAAAGCAATTCTATTTCCAAATATAAGTAACACCCTACTCCAGTATAATGAAAATATCTGTTGTCTAACTTTCGTCACGCAGAGGAAAATGGCTGTAAATTTTTCTTTAGAGTGTCTGAGGGTGAAGAGCTCTAACGTCACACTGAGCGCCCATCAGATTTACCAGATCTCTCCCTTCCACCTTGAAGTTGAAAGTAGACGGGGGCTTTTTTTTTTCAATAAGTCATAAGAATTCAACTTAGAGATGCAAATGACAGTATTAAAAAAAATAAAACCCATGCCCTGTGTAAATTCTATACATAAATTATAATTCTCGGGCAAAGACAAAAAATCTTAAAAAACAACAGGAGGAAAATGAGCTATAAATAACCTGTTAAATGTGAATATTTAATAACATTCATCTAAGCTTTCTTTTGTAAAAGCTTTTTAAATTTCTATTTTTGGAAAGCAAATATTAACACTACTTCAAAAGCTCTTGCAGCCTTTATTAAATAACTTCCTCCGTCTGGACAGTGGTAACCACAATTCTATCAGCCAAAACAGATTACAGGAGAAGAAGCTGCTTCAACATTACTTGCTAATTTACATATGTCTATATGTCCTTAATTTAAACCTTGTCCTATGGATAAGACCTAGGGCTTTCTGAAGCATGTTTTAATGGTGTTTTTTGTTTAAAAAAAAATGTAGAAGACATAAGCATTTTCTCACATTTTATCTCACATTTTTCTTTCTTTACAAGTAGTTTAGCACATGGAACACCAAGACAATGTTGAATTATGCTGCATTTAAAAGCTTAATAAGTGCAAAGTATTATTGCACAATCAATACATATAACTGTAAATGAATAAAATTTGAGGTTTGGTTTATAGCATATTTGAAACTCTTTTACAGGAGATCAGATGTTACTTTTTGCAGAATGTTCTAAAATTCCACATGTGTCTCATTTAACCCCTTGAGATGGAAATGTTTTTACCAGCTCTGTGCAGCGCCTAACAGTTTGTAGGTGTTTGTTCAATGCAATGCATATTTAATAATTGCCTAACTAGAGTCAAAAACTTGTTTGAGCCCAAAGCATGAGAAAAACACATTCAAGTCAGAGACACAGGGAGGGAAGTAAGAACAGCAATTAAGTGGCTCTTTAAAAGTCACTGCATCCACCCTCAGAAATCCGTGTCATTGACTATTTGACTATTTTTAGAGTTCTTTTTTGGTAGGTCAAGGAGAAGACTCTAGACTCTATGCCCTTTTTCCATCTCTTGGCTGATAGAATCCCAAAGAAATTTACTCTGACTGAAATTTCTGGTAAGTTTTGAAGCTAAGAATTTGCATGATCACATGAGAACTTCTCTCATAGTTTGTTTAAATGAAATGCCTTTTCCAATCATTGGTTTTGATGATGTGAGGCAGACGTAGGGCAACCGAGTGTGCAGATGCGGAGTTGAAGTCGGGTGAGGTGGGGGAAGGGCACAGGTGCTGAGATTGGCACCAAAAAACAGACTTGGCTACTTTACAATGGTGGTCCACGGCCACGGGCAAAGTCCACCTGACACCTCTATGAAAAACAGCAAAGCTTGATTTTCAGGACAAGGGTTTATTCACAATAGACTAGTTACATTCTCTAGATCAGTTAAATCAGACATTGAAAATGTGTGGCCCAGAAGCTGAATCCAGCTTGCACGGTTTTAAAAAGGTAACAGTAAAAATCCAAATTTCCCGTTTCTCTTCAAGAAAAATTAGATCTGGACTGTTTGGGCCCAGACTCTGGCAAGGCAACTCTGTGAGATCTGAGGAGAGAATCTCAAGGTGAAAATCGCCCTAAAAGCTGATGACTTGCCTTAGCTTTGGGGCAGACTGTTCCTTTGTTCTCCATTACAGACTTTGTCAGCAAATTTAAAGCTACTGTGAAGCATCTGAATGGAAATATTTTAGAGAGCAAGTAAAGGCTCTCCTTTTACTGTAAAATAAACATATGTCACAGCAAGTCTGCAGAACCTATAGTTTCTTGGGGGGAAATTTTATACCTGGTCCCCTTTGCTAGTTTATATTACCTGCCTGGCCTCTAAAAGCCTCAGGATTGTGAGATCCAATGTTCCTGGCTCTGTCCTCCACTATGAACTCACCCAAGGCTTAAACCAACATGTATTCTCTGTCTCTTAAAACACCATCTCAAGCACAGACTTGCCTCCTGAGTACAAAGAGGATTTTTAGTATAGGACATCTCCACTCGAGTTGTCCTTGTACCCCGTGTATAGTGCTCCCTCGGTCCTCTGAATCTCCTTCTTTAGCGTGTTGTTCTTTTCTGGGCCAATGACCACAGCTTCCTCACTGGTTGTCTTGCCG